TTCACCAAGGTCTTGGCGCCTGGTGATCACCACCGGTTCTGTGTGCAGTTAGAGCTTGTTGACTATGTTGCTCGTCCGCCGTAGCCTTGCTCTGCTTGTACTTGCACCTATATATCTTATGTAACCTCTTGGACTGGCCTTGTGGTCATTTGCTTGTGCTCAGAATGCATGGTGACGTCATGCTCCACCCTTAGCTTTGCCTTGTTGCTTGTTTTGACTGGTCTTGTGACCGTTTGTTGACTTGTTTGCTTTGATGTTCCTCACTTGGCCAATAGGGGGTGTGTCAAACGTGCTATTTTTTGTAGGCAACAGTGAGGTGCTCTTTAGTGTGTACAACAGATTTTGGGTTTCCTATTTGTACCCCTTGCTTTGCTAATCACAGATATTCCGTTGCACTCCGTTCTTGAGACACCCTTATACTGTATAAAAATTGTTAGAGCTCAAACGTATATCGTAGAGCTCGAATCTCAACCTTTCTTCAGGTCTCCTTACTGCGCACTTTGGCAACGCGTACAAGACCAACTGTTTCTTCACCCATTACCGCTCAACAGTGTTCGCCATTTCGCGAACCTCGCACAGCTGGACTTTGCCAAGTCGGCCTATGCTTCGGGACTAGCCGGAACCTCTCTGCCAGCATTTCACTATCTAGCTCACACATACCAGTTTATTGTTTGTTGTTTTCGCTATAAATACTCGCGAAATGTGCTCGCATTTGTACTCTGACTCCTTAGTGAAATCATCGCTTACTTCATATTTTGCACCCTTTTCACTTGCCTGTCAAAGCTACTTTCCTTTTGACCGCGCATTTTTCCGCAACCAACAACTCTCCAACTTCTGATTTTTTCACTCGAAGGGGCAAACGCCTCTCAGCGTACTAGGATGTGAAGTTTAGGACAAGAATGAAGAAAAGGGAAGGGGTTTCACTAGCAGCAGTTGGGATACATATAGCAAACCCTAACAGGGTTGTACTCGCTATAGAGCACCCCACTACAGGCTAGATAATTATAACATTCTGACACACCCCCATAGCCAAAGTGGGGTGTAATCAGCACAATGAGCAAGCAGGTATAGAGCAGGAGTTCACAATAGCGAGCAAAGCTAGAGTCATTCACAAAGGGCAAGTGAGGAGGAGGCGAGACTGTAAGAGGAGAGGAGATAGGAGGCGACGGCTGAAGCTGCAAACACACGGGCAACAGGAGTCACACTGGCACAGCGGCTACCGGAACAACACTCCGGACTACTGGAGTAACTGGCTCCGCGGCTAAGGCTAGCGGCAGACGAGCAACGGACCCACGGGCGACTGGCACAGCTGGCTACGACTGGACTACCGGAGCAACGCCCCGGACTACTAGTGCTGCTGACGACACGACGACAACCTCCGTTCAACCAACCTCTTCCAGCTGCCCCACACCTCTCGACACACACCCCCTGCTCAAACCCTAGCTCCACTCCCATAGCACCCCCCTTACACCCTAAACCGCAGGCTCACACACATCCACCTCCCTCAAAACCCTAGCTCCACTCCCACAGCACCCCCCTTAAACCCTAAACCCCAGACTCCCACACATCCACCCCCCTCAGCGACAGCTGCAGCAGTGGGAGACGAAGGAGGAGGAGGAGCAGGGGAGACCACACACCCGTCACCCCCTACTCGCCACCCCCAGACCCTAACACAGGGCAGGGCGGGACGGCGGGTAGGGAGGTTAGGGGGGGGGGGGGGCGACGCGCGGTCTCCCAGGGCGCCAAAACAGGCGGCAGAAGGGGCGATGCTCGCCCCCCTCCCCCAGGTCGCCCCTCCCGTCGCCTGTCGAGGCGACCTGAGGGGGCCGCGTGCGGGGCACGTGCCCCCGGTGCGCCGCAGCTGGCGACGGGGCATGGCCGGGGCGGGGCCGGGGCAGGGTCGAGGAGGGGCCGAAAGGGGCGGCGACGGGGCCGCAAGTGGCGGCGACGGGGCCGCTGGAGGCAGCGACGGGGCCGATAGGGGCGGCGACGGGGCCGCTAGGGTCGGCAACGGGGCCGCTGGAGGCGACAACGGGGCTGCTGGCGGCGGCGACGGGGCCGATAAGAGCGGCGACGGGGCCGCTAGGGTCGGCGACGGGGCCGCTGGCAGCGTCGACGGGGCCGCTGGCAGCGTCGACGGGGCCGCTGGCAGCGTCGACGGGGCCGATAGGGGCGACGTCGGGGCCGCGAAGGGGCCGCGAGGGGCCTGGAAGGGCGGCGACGGGTCGCGAAAGGGGCGGCGACGGGGCCGCGAAGGGGCTGCGAGGGCCTGGAAGGGCGGCAACGGGGCCGCGAAGGGGCCGCGAGGGGCCTGGAAGGGCGGCAATGGGGCCGCTAAGAGTAGCACGAGGGGCACGCCACGAGGCGTGCCGAACACAGAGTAGCAGCGGGAGCAGTTGAGTGGGCCCACAGGCCAGGACCGTAGATGCTCTGATAGCATGTGAAGTTTAGGACGAGAATGAAGAAAATGGAAGGGGTTTCACTAGCAGCAGTTGGGATACATGTAGCAAACCCTAACAGGGTTGTACTCGCTATAGAGCACCCCACTACAGGCTAGATAATTATAACATTCTGAATTAGGAGCCGTTGCTCTCACACTCTCTTGTAAGCACGTGCAGTCACAATTGCACCTAGCACCTAGAACGCCCGGCGTCCTTCGACATAGACGAGCACATTGACCTCGCCGACCTCACGCATGAGTGCCTAGATGAGCTTATGCGGCAACTGCACGAAAGCACACTAGATATTGTGACGCTGACGGCAGAGCGCAAATCCCTCTATTTTTCTCAACCCATCCCACAAAAAAACAGACGCAGGCAACACCAGCAGCACCGGCAGCAGCAACACCGTCCCGACATGAGAGTGTGGGACAGCGCTCAGCCGCCACCAGTGAGGGCGCCATACGTGACAAAGTGCGTGGCACCCGCAGTACGACACATCCCGAAAAGATGCCAGTGGCAGAATCACCACACGAGGATCGCCGTCGCGTTACCATTGAAAATGACAACTCGGCAATCATATCACCCAAGCCATTCAAGCCTCAACGTCCCCCGTCATTTTACCCGGGTCAACGGGGTGGCCTGACGGTTCAATCGTGGATTTTCACAATGAATGTATTTTTTTACGCCAGGCTTTTTTCGACGCCAACTACGTCACGTCTGACTCAGCCAAAACTCGTTATGTCGTGTCGTTACGACAAGGACCCACCATGGATTGGTGGAATGTCATCACCACTGCGCCGATCGACTACAAGCCCCTAGTGTTATTCTTCTGTTATTATTCTCCCTCTGTCTCGTTCTTCCACCAAAACCCATATCTCCCAGTATGTTTAAAAAACCCTAGTTTCTCCTTTAGCCTCTTCCTCTCCCACCTCTCCCTCTCTTCCTTGCTTTCCTCCATCCATTAAAACCTCATCTCATGCCATGTTGGTGTAGCTTTTGAGAACAACACCCTCATGCCACATCTCCACACTCTAGTTTCCTCCTTACCCTCTCCCTCGCCTACTTCTCTCCCCTGGACCCTCATCTCACACCATGGCTTGCCCTTAGTATTCCTCTTCCCTCTCTCCCCTTCCTCCACACCCTCATCTCCCGGCATGTTCTCCAAACCCTGGCTTCCCCACCCTAGTTTTCCCCTAAACTAGACTCTCCTTTTCCTTCTCACTCCTTCCCACCCTCCCTCATCCCTTTCCTTCCTACTTCCACCAGACCCTCATCTCCCGCCACGTTCTCCAAACCTCGGCTTCCGGGCCTATCGATCTGTTTCTGCACGTCGTGCTTCTAGACCATGGCGTCATCACTGCTCAGGATGACACCAGCACCAGTGGCGGCGGCGGCAGCAGCAGTGGCGGCGGCGGCAGCAGCGAGAGCGGGAAGCAGATTGGGGAGCAACAGGCGGACACTGAATCAGAAGCCACGAGCGAGGGAGTAGCAGAAGGAGTAGGAGGGATGGGGTGAAAACAACAGGGTGGAGAAATACATAAGGATAAGGGAGCAGCATGAGGAGCAGCATCAGTGCTCGATTCAACCCCAAACATCTACACGCCAGCACAGCGGATAGCGCTAGCAAAGCTGCTCCCAGCAGGCAGTTCCAGAGAGAGAGTGTAGAGGATGATAGCGGATCTTGAGGGCAAGGAGGTAGAGGCGGGTGCTGCTGCCCATGCAGGAAGTTGCCGAGAAGGATCTTGGCATTTGGCTCAAGCACCCGATTAAGAAGTCTGAGCGGGCTCTACTCTTTTCATTGAACAAGGTGAGACATGGTTTAGGGCTCGGTTCTTGAGGAGTCTGAAATCCCGGACAAGTAGGCTGAGCGTGCACTACTCTTTTTTATGAAGAAGGTGAGGTGAGGGTTGCGCTTAGCGTTTAGACTATGTTAGGGCAAAAACCGTGCCAGCTGGTGCTGACTTTGTGCTTTGGTTGATGCGCTTAGTGTTAAACTCAGCTCTTTCTTCAACCGCCCTTCCCGACCAACAGATCCTTCAGCCACAGCTCGAGGCAGAGGAGGATGATGTTAAGACCATGGAACTTCAAGCCTAGTCTCTTCGCTTTAGTGGCTGCCAAACACTTCTCTTCTCTCTTCACCCTCCTTCACCCACCAACAGAGTCTTCAGCTACAGCTCGAGGCAGAGGAGGATGCTATTGAAGCGGTTATGCTTAGGCTGTGCTATCTCGTGTTAAGATGTTAGGTCGTATCTCGGGCTCGTCTCAATCTTGGTTGGTGTCAACTGCTCAACAAGGAAAAATCAGGGAGTTCTAGTCCTCCTGGTATCAGCTAAACCGACCAATGTGATCACGGGAAGTTGCCCAATGTGCCCAACATTGACACCAGGCTGGAGCCACGTGCGAGCGCAGCTCCACCTCGTGTCAAGCGCGTTTGGCGTCTGACATCAACCGCAGATTGACACGAGCCAGGGATACTACCTTACTGTGCTGTGTTGTGTTCTCCCCGCCCTCCCTTCACCCACCAACAGAGTCTTTTGCTGTAGCTCGAGGCGGAGGACGATGTTGTTTTCGTATGAATCGCTACTTGTTGTAAGTCATCTCAAATCAACCCCTTATGTGTCGTTCTCTTTATTTCTCCCTCCCTTCCCCCTTGCCAACAAAATCTTCAGCTACAGCTCGAGGCAGAGGAGGATGTTGTTCCCTCATTGTGGCTCTTCTCTTCATGGAGGTACTCCCCTCTCCCTCTGTTTTCCCCTGCCCTTTATCCCTGCTTGTTTTTTTCCATCTTTCTACTCCTCTTTCTTATCCTCTTTCTTCTTCTCTTTCCTCTCCTCTTTCTCCCGTTTTTTTTCTTCTGCTCATTCTTCCGCATCTGCCTATTCTCCCTTCCACACCTTCCCTGCTTCCTTCTTTCCTTCTTGCACATAAGCTTCCATCATCATGGCTCCTTGTAGAATGAACACAGTCGTTCCATTCCTCGTTCCCTCTTATCTCTTTCACTCTTCGCTCATCTCTCGCGCCCCTATCTTTCTCTGCACCTACTGCCTCGTCTCTCCCCCCTTTTACCCCCCACACAGGCACACAAGAAGGCCCTTCAGGTCCCTGGCCGCGCTCTCTCTGCCATCATCACCCATCTCAAGTCCTCTCTCTCTCCCGCAGACTTCTTCTCTCTCTCCACCTTGCACTTTGCTGTTGTCGCGCCCATTGGCAAAAGCACAGCAGGGGAGAGAGGGCAGGCGGGGGAGGGGGAAGGGGGGGAGGGAGTGGAGGAGAGGGTGCATATGGAAGCGCTGCTGAAGGGGCCGAACGAGGTAGCTCTGGGGAAAGCCAATTTGGGTACAGTAAGGGCGATGATGGTGATGAGTGATATGTGCGTCGTTGTGACAGACTAAGCGCACAGCAGGGGGGAGAGGGCAAATTGGGGAGGGGGAAATTGAACATCGTCGTGCACATGCACTTCCCTCCCTTTGAACTCGTATGCATTCTCGTCCCAAGTTTTCCTAAATTCCGTTGTATCTGTAGAATGCCATCTAGCCTATACTGCAAGTGATTTTACTGTAGTCATATTCCTATCTATAGCGGATATTCCCTTGCGCGTGCTGTGCGACTCGATCCGTATTCGAGATCTTTCAGCCTTCAATAGGGACGTGGTGCAGTTCGCCTCTGATCGCGCATGATTGCAACGATCACTGGCGATTAGTCCATTCCTGGAAGGTACTACGGTTTTTTAGTCAATTAGGGGCAATCACTAGATTGCGATCAGGGCTTCTATTAGTCCCGATTGATCGCCTCGATCACACGCAATCAATTGCGGTTGATTGCGATCGGCAGCTTGGGTGTGGTGTGATCCGTACCTGCGAAAGAAGGTCCACGAAAGTAACAAACCTCCTCTAAAGTCCCCTTTGCGACATCGGAACTTGAGATCTGTGACTTGACTGTGCTACTCTGTAATTCGAATCTGAGACTATTTCGCACTGTATCGCCAAATCACCCTCGGAAGGGACTTTGTTGATGTCAAGAAAGCTCGTCCATGCTGCTTTCTCAATTGTCTGCTTAATCGCGCGGCTCGTTAGAAATCTCTAGTCGTGCAGTAGCCACAACAATCCGATCTGATCAGGTGAACTGCACCACGTCCTAAGTTCCCCTCACACATTTGCTCTTCGCTTGTATGGCCATGCTTGTTTGCCTCCGCTTTCAGTGTCTCGTCTCCAGTTTCAAAGCGCTTATCATTCGATGCACATAGCACGAGAGACCTAGGGGTTGGGCATGGTTACATCCCCATCCGTTCTTTTCTCGTTAGGGAGTAAATTTGCGACGCGCACTGACACTCCAGCAGTATAGCTAGAGTCAGGCATGGCAGTGGGGTCTGGTTACCACGCCGAGGCAGGTTTCGCCACGGCTGGCGAAACCCGCGTAATGCATCGTAATTCGAGTTGCTCTTCGCCGAGCGTAGTTACCGACGACGTCAGATTACCCTATGACAGTTTCGCCGGGTCGCAGGGTGTCGCCAAATCACAGCTCAGTAACGCGATTGGCCCAATACCCGCTGTAAGTGCTGCTGCGGCGGCAGCGGCAGCGGCGGCGGCAGCGGCAGCGGCGGCGGCGACGGCTGCGTCATTTGCAGCAACTCCTAGACAAGCGAATGGCCGATCCAGTGTCTGTCACGTCGTGGGCGCTCTGAACCGTCTTTTCTCCAAACCGATCGTCGCGCGATCGACGTTCTCACATGTACCCGTTACAAGACGTCCCGTTGGTAGCGCCTCGGCTTTACCCTCCCGTATTCCTCACAGTGCGCCGAGCTCCGCTCTCGCGATCCTCGCTTCCCGCGCCAGTCAAATGGCCAAGGATCCCCTCATTCGATTTAGTCACATCGCATACCATCAACGGCTCCTGACCTCCTACGGATCCGCGTTTTCCTCATCCTCCCTCGTCCAACTCGCCAAATCCGGTCTATTCCGCCCGCCATTCGCGCTGTCCGCGTTAGTAGCACCACCCGTTAACAGGATCGGTTCGTCTGCCGTCAGGTCATCGTTATTGCACTCAGCAGTAACCTCGGGATCATCAGCAGCGGCAGGCAGAGCGGGAGGAGGTTCGGGGTCGTCAGTACGGCCGGATAGGGGATTTAAACTGCACCTGCCCAAGCATGGTCCGCATAAGCTGCTTCCGCGTCCCCCAGCGCGCGGGAAGGCGAAACCCGCAGCTCCCCCCCCACCCGCGCCCAGTTTCCGCGGATCTGGCGCCGTCCCCCGCTTCTCCGCCCCCAGTGCTGGCCCCAGCGGGGCCGCTGGCCCTTCGAGTTCCGCTGCCCGTTCCGCCCACCGCCCCGCCCCCCGCCCCTCCCCCCGCGCCCTCCCTCACTCCCCCGCCGCTAGGCAGCTGGGTGTTGAGTTAGGTGCTTTGAGGCCGAAAGCAGTGACTAAGGAAGTGACTATAGCGAAAGGAGTGGGCACGGGGGTGCTTAAGGCGAAAATCCAAAAGGCTGACGCAGCAATTAAGCCGCGATCTGTAGCTACAGCTGCCGCTACAGATGCCGGCAGGGCGGCAAGCTCGCGAGCTGGGAGTGCGGCTGTCGCAGTGGCAGAGGCTACTGATGGCTCACAGGTAGACACAAGAGATCTGATTCAATGAGAGAAGCGGCAGGCAGTTACAGGTAGATGCACGTGTAGAAAGTGTAGTTTTGAGACGTCTCAAAACTACGCTTTCTACACAAGGGAGTTGATTCAATGAGAGAAGCGGCTGGTAGTTACAGGTAGATGCAGAGAGGGGGGGGAAGGCAGGGGAAGGAGTGAGGATGGAAACGGCATTGCCACATTGGTAGCTTTGGAAGTCGGGAAGGGTGAGGAAAGGTTAGGGTTGTTTGTGCCTTTTGTATTCGTTCGTGCAACTGTTCAATACGTTGCTGATGCCTGTCAACCATAGTAAATAAGCCCCTCTTGATTTCTCCATCTGCCCGCCTCCCTCCCTGCAAAGCACTCAGACCACCAGTGGGCCCAGCACAGGCTTTAAGGAGGAGGAGAGATAGAAGCAGCGTCCCCCACCACTTTCTGTGGCCTGTCGTTACTCGTGATTGGCTGTGCTTCTCTCTGCCCTCCTCCCTGCAAAGCACTCAGATCAGACCACCGGTGCACCCAGCGCGGGATTTAAGGAGGAGGAGAAATATCCAGAGCATCTCCCCCCACCCCGACCTGTGACCTGTCCTTACCCGTGGTTTGGCTGTGCTTTTGTTTGCTCACCTCCCTGCAAAGCACTCAGACCACCGGTGCACCCACGACAGGCTTTAAGGGGGAGGGCTTGTGACAGCAGCTTCCCCACCCGTACCCGTGACCTGTCCTGTCCTTACCCATGTTCTGGCTGTGCTTCTCTCTGCCCTCCTCCCTGCAAAGCACTCAGTTCACCGGTGGGCCCAGCGCGGGCTTTAAGGAGGAGGAGTGGCAGCAGCAGCTGGCGCTGTTTGCTGGCGACAGTGGGAGGAGGGAGATGGTTCTCACGGGCAAGGAGAGCCGGCGCTACGAGCAGGACATAAAAAGGATTGCTGCTCAATTCCGCCTTCACAGGTGAGCTCTGGGTTTAGGGTTTAAGGAGTCAGGATTTAGGGTGGTGGAGGGGAGGGTGGGAGGGGGTTTTTTCAGGTTTGAGGTTGAGTGAGATGGTTCTGGATATTAGGGTATGGTGGACGTTAGTGCTCAGGTTTGAAGTGGAAAGGGGTGGCTCTGACCGGTAAGGATAGCCAGTAGTATGAAGCCTGGGTTTGGGGTTTTGGGTTTTAGACTCAGGGTCTTGGAGTGTTGGTGTAGGTTGAGAGGTTGGGAGATGGTGCTGACGGGCAAGGAGGACGGCTTTGGATAATTCTCACTCAGATGTGAGCAGGAGGAGGGCATCAAGAGAATCGCACCTCATTTCTGCATTTGCAGGTGGGGTCTGGGGTTAGGGTTCAAGTGTTTTGGATACTAGGGCGGCAAGTGGGTTTTAAGCTGCGGTTTCTGGGGTTGGCGGGCGCTTAGGATGAGGGGTTTTAAGTTTAGGGAGACGGTTCTGACGACGGGCAAAGGGAGTCAGGGATCTCCTCTTGTTGTCTGCTCATGCCTAGTCAGCTGTACGAGCAGGGAATCGAGAGGATTGCTGCATTTTTTTTTTTTAGTGCCTTGGTAGAGTCGGTTGTAGGAGCAGGACATTTTTGTCCTCAGCAAAGAACCCTCTGTTCTCTTATGAGGCGCCTCACTCTCACGCACTCTCCTCCTCCCCCTGTTCCCCCTTTCGCCCCACCCCCCTCATCTCCCAACCCATCTCCCCCCCCTCGTCCTCCCATCAGTCACATGTACAACAAGTCCTTCGTCCTCCTCAGCAAGGGCCCTCTGCTCTCTCAGAACTCTCACTTCCCGCTCACCCACTTACCACCTCGCCCATTTCCCCCTCCCCCCATTCAGTCACATGCATGTACAACTCGTCTCTCGTCCTCACCAAGGACTTTCTGCCTCTTATGAGGCGCCTCATTCACACACATTCTCTAATTCCCCAACTCCTCATTCCCCTATCTCCCCCCCCTGCTCCATCCCATCAGTCGCATGCACAACTCGTCTGTCGTCCTCAGCAAGGACTTTCTGCCTCTCACGAGGTGCCTCACTCACACACATGCTCCGCTTCACCCCGTACCCCCTTCCTCTCCCCTCTTTCCCCTCCCCCTCCCCCCCATCAGTCGCATGTACAACAAGTCCCTCGTCCTAAGCAAGGACCCTCTGCCACACTACCGCCCAGAGCTCGACTCTCGGCGGCCGCAGCGACAGGTGGGTGCGATGCGGTGCAGTGCGGTTAAATGTGGCCTGTTGGGACATGGTCTTGATACTCTGGAGTAGAAAGCAGTGCTGTGCGGTGCAATGTGTTTCAGTGCTGTGTCTTACACTGGAAGAGTGGGCTGCGCACTGCGGTGCAGTACGGTGCTTTTCGGTATGTGCCAGTTTTGTGAGTTATGTCTCAGTGAAGTGCTTCTAGGAGTGGCTGGGTAGTGCAGTTTACCTCCCCCGATCCTCTCGGCTTCCAGACATGTGAGTTCCCTTCACACATGTACTTTCGGTCGAGTGTTTCCTCTTTGCCTGTCCTACTTGTCTTCTCGACTCGCCCCTGCGCTGCAGCTGAGTTTCGTCCCGGTATTTTTTGGGGGGATTGACAGAGTGGTGGCGGGTGCAGGGGCAGCAGGGTGAAGTGCTCTATAGGTCTCCCTCCTTGTCACATGTGGGGCTGATTCTTTCCTTGTTGCTTCTCCTCCTTCTCTTCACTTGTCGCTGCAGCTGAGTTTCCCGCCGGAGATTCTTGAAGCAATTGACAGAGTGGTGGCGGATGTGAAGGCGAAGCGCGAGAGAGAGGAGAGCGAGAGGGAAGAGAGGGAGAGGGAAGAGAGTAAAGCTGCTTTAGCTGCTGCTGGTGGTGTTGGTGGAGAGAAGCAAGGCGTGGCAGGGCGAGGGCTGACGGGGTTGCAAGGGGCCAAGGGCGAGGAGGAGGAGGGGGGGGACGAGGAGGATGGGGGGGAGGAAGAAGAGGGGGGCGCGGTTCGTGGTGGAGCGAGGGAGGAAGCGGAGGAGGTGGAGGAGAGGAGGAGATGGCAGTTGTGGAGGATCAATGAGAGCTTGAAGCGAAGACAGCAACAATGGCAGGTAAATGGGAGAGGAAAGCAGGGGGAAGAGGGAGGGGAACTGGGGGGTTTGGGGAGGAGGTGGAGGAGAGGAGGAGATGGCAAATGTGGAGGATTAATGAGAGCTTGAAACGCAGACAGCAGCAGTGGCAGGTACGTGAAGGGGGAAAGAAGGGGGGAGAGGGATGGGAGGGGGGGTTGGTGGGTGAGGGGGAAGGGTTGTAGCAGACTCAATAGTAGAATCTATGGTATTCAATCAGTTGATTAATTGACCTTTAAGTTTCGACAAATAACTAATCATTAGTACACCGACACATTCACACACGGACACATAAAGACATGCATTTGGTGTCTTATACACATTCACGCATACATAAGTTCTGTCATCATGTATCACCCAAAAAGGCATCCATTCATTCTCTCCTTAATGCATGGCCATATGTGCGCATGCCCGCGCACGCTCACACTCGCACATGCATACCATCACCCATGCTGTTTTGAGAATGTTAGATATGATCCAGCGAGCAGCAGTATACATGCATACCATCTCCCGTGCTGTTTTCAGACTGTTAGACATGATCCAGCGAGCAGCAGTATACATGCATACCATCTCCCATGCTGTTTTCAGACTGTTAGACATGATCCAGCGAGCAGCAGTATACATGCATACCATCTCCCATGCTGTTTTGAGAATGTTAGATATGATCCAGCGAGCAGCAGTATACATGCATACCATCTCCCGTGCTGTTTTCAGACTGTTAGACATGATCCAGCGAGCAGCAGTATACATGCATACCATCTCCCATGCTGTTTTCAGACTGTTAGACATGATCCAGCGAGCAGCAGTATACATGCATACCATCTCCCATGCTGTTTTCAGACTGTTAGACATGATCCAGCGAGCAGCAGTATACATGCATACCATCTCCCATGCTGTTTTCAGACTGTTAGACATGATCCAGCGAGCAGCAGTATACATGCATACCATCTCCCGTGCTGTTTTCAGACTGTTAGACATGATCCAGCGAGCAGCAGTATACATGCATACCATCTCCCATGCTGTTTTCAGACTGTTAGACATGATCCAGCGAGCAGCAGTATACATGCATACCATCTCCCATGCTGTTTTCAGACTGTTAGACATGATCCAGCGAGCAGCAGTATACATGCATACCATCTCCCGTGCTGTTTTCAGACTGTTAGACATGATCCAGCGAGCAGCAGTATACATGCATACCATCTCCCGTGCTGTTTTCAGACTGTTAGACATGATCCAGCGAGCAGCAGTATACATGCATACCATCTCCCGTGCTGTTTTCAGACTGTTAGACATGATCCAGCGAGCAGCAGTATACATGCATACCATCTCCCATGCTGTTTTCAGACTGTTAGACATGATCCAGCGAGCAGCAGTATACATGCATACCATCTCCCATGCTGTTTTCAGACTGTTAGACATGATCCAGCGAGCAGCAGTATACATGCATACCATCTCCCGTGCTGTTTTCAGACTGTTAGACATGATCCAGCGAGCAGCAGTATACATGCATACCATCTCCCGTGCTGTTTTCAGACTGTTAGACATGATCCAGCGAGCAGCAGTATACATGCATAGCATACCATCTCCCATGCTGATTTCTTCTCTGCATGCTCCGCTTCCCTGCAGGCATCACCGGAAGGGGCATCCATGCTGGCGTTGAGACAGAGCCTGCCCGCGTGGAAGGAGCGAGAGCGGCTGCTACAGGCCGTGCGAAGTAACCAGGTAGGCTTGGGTTCGGGTGCAGTCTTGTAGTGAGCTCTAGCTTAACAGCTGTTGCTGGCGTTGAGGCAGAGCCTGCCCGCATGGAAGGAGCGAGAGCAGCTGCTACAGGCAGTCCGAAGAAACCAGGTAACCATGGGCTCGGGTGAAATATTGTGCTGTAGGCAGGCTGTCTAATTCAACCAGATAACCGCGAGATGGGCCTGACTGCTCTTGCTGACGTTGAGGCAGAGCCTGCGTGCGTGGAATGAGGCGAGAGCGGCTGCTGCAGGCAGTGCGTAACAACCAGGTAGTGCCTGGCTGTTCTATGACAGAGCAGTGCTTCTTTGTTCAATCAGTTGCCTCCGTGTCATGTTGTGTATCACTGCTGCAGGTGGTTGTTTCGGCCAAAACAGGGTGTGGCAAGACAACAGGGTGTGGCAAGACAACAGGGTGTGGCAAGACAACAGGGTGTGGCAAGACAACAGGGTGTGGCAAGACAACAGGGTGTGGCAAGACAACAGGGTGTGGCAAGACAACAGGGTGTGGCAAGACAACAGGGTGTGGCAAGACAACAGGGTGTGGCAAGACAACACAGCTGCCTCAGTACCTTCTGGAAGAGGCAGTGGAGTCGGGAGAAGGAGTGCAGAGCTCTTCCATTGGAACTGAACAACCTTTCAGTTCCCCTCCCACTGGCATGCCATGTCATGCCACAGGTGGTGGTGGTGTCCAGCGAGACGGAGTGTTTCAAGTCCACGCAGCTGCCACAGTATCTGCTGGAAGACGCAGTGGAGTCGGGGCAGGGAGCACAGAGCTCCATGTCCCACACCCAGAGCAATGCTTTGTTCAATCAGTTGCCACCGTGTCCTGTCGTGCCCTGCCGCTACAGGTGGTGGTGGTGTCGGGCGAGACGGGGTGTGGCAAGACCACCCAGCTGCCGCAGTACCTGCTGGAAGATGCTGTGGAGTCGGGGGAAGGAGCACAGAGCTCCATCATTTGCACCACCTTTCCATTCCCCTCCCCTCCCGTCCCACTGCCATCCCATTCCATGCCACAGGTGGTTGTAGTGTCGGGCGAGACGGGGTGTGGCAAGACCACCCAGCTGCCGCAGTACCTGCTGGAAGATGCTGTGGAGTCGGGGGAAGGAGCACAGAGCTCCATCATTTGCACCACCTTTCCATTCCCCTTCCCTCCCGTCCCACTGCCATCCCATTCCATGCCACAGGTGGTTGTAGTGTCTGGCGAGACGGGGTGTGGCAAGACCACCCAGCTGCCGCAGTACCTGCTGGAAGATGCCGTGGAGTTGGGGGAAGGGGCGCAGAGCTCCATTATATGCACTCAGCCCCGGAGGATATCGGCGGTGGCGGTGGCAGAGAGGGTGGCTGCTGAAAGAGGGGAAAGCATTGGACAGTCGGTGAGTGCTCTGAGTCAACCCAAGCTAGCTAAAGTCAAGGGGAAGAAAGGCAGGGCAGGGAGCGCAGTGCTCGGTCATTTGCACACAGCCTTGGCGGATATCGGCAGTGGCAGTGGCAGGGAGGGTTGCTGTCGAAAGAGGGCAATAGGTAAGTATTGAGAGGGGCAGGGCAGGGAGTGCAGTGCTCTATCATTTGCACACAGCCGTGGCTTGGCGGGTATCGGCAGTGGCAGTGGCAGAGAGGGTTGCTGCTCAAAGGGGGGAGAGCATTGGGCATAGGTAAGTCAACCAAGTCAACAATCGTCAGTCAGTGCGTTTCTTGAGTCAACGCTGGTCAACCAAAGTCAAGGATATGGTTGAAGAAAGCAGAGAGGTCCATCATTTGTACTGAGATGCTGCAGAGAGCAGCATCTCAGAGAGGTGCTGCTGAGACAACTGGCATCCGAGCCACGCTTGTCACACACTCCCGACCACTCCCCTCACTCTACCTCACTCTGCCACATCCCTTTTCAGGTGGGGTACCAAGTACGTTTGGAGACGCATAGGAGCAGGGCCACGCACATGCTGTTCTGCACCACCGGTGAGGGAGAGGAGTGCTGCTGAGACGACTGCGTTTGATGTCTCCCCCCCCCCCCCCCACTTCCACTGCCTCTCACCACAAACAAACTCCCCTTCCTTTTCACTTACCAGGTGGGGTACTGGGTCTTCTTGGAAGCGCCAAGGAGCAGGGCCGGCCACCCATCTGCTGTTGAGGCGCCTCAAAAGGAGCAGGGCCGGCCACCCATCTGCTGTTCTGCACCACGGGCGTGCCGCTGAGACAACCGGCATTGGCTCCTTTACCCCCATGCAATGCCTCCCTCCCCACCCCTACCCCCGCAAACCAGGTGGGGTATTAAGTCCGCTTGGAAGCGCGCCTTGGCAGGGCCACACACCTGCTGTTCTGCACCACGGGCGTGCCGCTGAGACGGCTGGCGTCCGGCCCGCCCTTGCCCACACACCCCCCCCAACACACCCACCCCTCCACTCCCCCTCACTCTGCCACATCCGTTTTCAGGTGGGTTGCCAAGTTCGTCTAGAAGCTCGAAGGACCAGAGCGACGCACCTGCTGTTCTGCAGCACTGGCATGCTGCTGCTGCGGCGACTGGCATCTGACCCTTGTCTCCCCATCCATCCACTGCCTAGCCTTCCCCCTTGTCTAACCAGCTGGGGTACCAGGTGGGGTACCAGGTGCGTGCGCTTAGAGGCGCGCAGGAGCAGAGCCAGCCACCGACCTGCTGTTGTGCAACACCAGCGTGCCGCTGAGACCAATGGCGCCTGACCCCTTGTTTCCCGCTCCACTGCCTCTCACTCACCACTACCCCCCAACCCCTTCCAAACTCGTGGGGTACCAAGTGCGTCTGGAAGCGCGCACGAGCCGGGTCACACACCTGCTGTTCTGCACCACAAGGGTTCTTCTGAGATGACTGGCGTCCGACCCTTTCCCCCCCATCCACTGGCTGTCACCACCACCACCACCCCCCCTTTTCACTCACCAGGTGGGGTACCAAGTGCGGTTGGAAGCGCGCAGGAGCAGAGCCACCCACCTGCTGTTCTGCACCACTGGCGTGCTGCTGAGACGACTGGCGTCTGACCCGCTGCTGACAGGCGTGACTCATATTGTGGTGGACGAGATTCACGAGCGGGGCATGAATGAAGGTGAGTGGGGGGAGGGGAGGTGGTAACTGGGTAGCGGGTTTTGCTGTAACCATTTAATTCGCTGCTGACAGGCATGACGTGACGCATATTGTGGTGGACGAGATTCACGGGTGAGGAATGAATGAAGGCGAGGAGGGAGGGGAAGGGATGGGGATGGGGCTGGGAGGGGTCAGTGTTGTGATGTGTTGCATTGGTGTCCGACCTGCTGCTGACAGGCGTGAGTCACATTGTGGTGGACGACATTCACGAGAGAGGCATGAACGAGGGTGAGCATGGGGGATGGAGGGGAGGTGGTAACTGGGTTACAGGCTGTGCTCCTACCTACCATCCGACCTGCTGCTGACGGGCGGGACTCATATTGTGGTGGACGAGATTCACGAGAGGGGCATGAATGAGGGTGAGCGGGGGAAGGGGAGGGAGAAGGCGTATGAAAGGGCTTATAACCTTGTGAACCATCGCTGACAGGCGTGAATCTCAGGCGTCTTTTGAATCGACTCAAAAGTCACCTCGTTACAATGGCACACGAAGGCGTATGAGAGGCTTACAACCTTGTGAACCATCGCTGACAGGCGTGAATCTCAGGCGTGTGACAAGTAAATGAGATTCACCAGAGGGCCATGAGCGTTGAAGTCCTATTGTTCATTCTCTCGTCCTTCACAACCAGACTTTCTTCTCATCATCTTGAGACCCTCAGCCATGAAGACCGGGTGAGCTGCAGCTTAGGAGACATTAGAAACTTGTGAAATCAAGCTTTTCTTCTCCTCGCCTTGAGACCCACCTGCTCTCCCACCATCCCACTTGCTCTGAAGCTGGACTGGAGTAACGTCTGAAAATGCTCCAAACGTGATTCTTCTACTCCCCCATGTCTTCCGTCCCTCCTACTACCCTACAACCAGACTTCCTCCTCATTGTTTTGAGAGACCTGCTCCCCCGCCGGCCCGATCTAAAGCTCGTGCTCATGAGCGCTACGCTCAACGCGGACCTCTTCTCGCACTACTTCAGTGGCGCGCCCACCCTGCACATCCCGGTGAGTGCGTGCTGGCAGTGACTGTTAAAGTGACAGGTGTGTAGGGTGCACTCATGAGCGCCACTCTCAACTCAGACCTCTTCCCGCAGTACTTCAGCGGTCCTCGCTCCCACCCTGCACATCCCGGTATGTGCTGCTGATGGTAACTGAGGTGATAGTTGAAGGAATTGTCTGCGGCCGGCATATCCCTCTCAGTGCCACTGACCGCCACTCTCAACGCGGACCTCTTCCCGCAGTACTTCAGCCGTGCTCCCGCACTTCACATCCCAGTGAGTGCTGTTGGCAGTGGAAGGTGGCAGTAGGGCACATACCCATCTCACGATGTGTCTCTCAGTGCTCATGCTTATGAGCGACTTTTGAGGTGCCTCCAAACTCTCTGTGCCTAATGAGAGCCACTGTCAACAATGACCTGTTCTCGCAGTCCTTCAATGGCGCGCCCACCCTGCACATTCTAGTGGTGAGTGCTCATGGCAGTATCTATGTCCTGACGGGACAGCTGAAGAGCTAGATGAAGCCTGAAGGGATAGGTCAGAGGGGGGGTAGGTGAGGGGATAGGTGAGGGGATGAATGAGGGGATAGCTGAGAGGAGATTGCTAAGAGGAGATTGCTAAGAGGAGATTGCTGAGAGAGTATAGCTGAGCAGCAGGAAATATCAGTTTCCACAATTTCAACTCCCCTTATTGCTCCCACTTCCTTGAATACTTGGAAACGTCCCACCATCTCCACCACTCCGCTCTTCCCATTTTCCTAACCCCACTAGGGCATCACCTCCCCTATGCGTCCGTACATTTTGGATCAAGCACTTCATGCGAATCCTGGCTAAATCCCCAAACCCTGTTTTTCCTTCCCTGAACCCCCACCTGATTCTTTCCCCTCCCTGACCCCCCACCTGATTCTTTCCCCTCCCTGACCCCCCACCTGATTCTTTCCCCTCCGTCCGTTGAAACATCTCAGGGATTCACATACCCTGTGCGGTCCTACTTTCTAGAAGATGTCTTGGAGCTCACAGGGCATGAGGTCACATTTTATAACCAGGTGAGATAAGAAACTCCCCCCCCCCCCCAAACACACCCTCCCTCTTCGAACGAATAATCCATCCCCACCCCAATGCCTCTCCCCTTTTTCTATCTGTATTTCGTGTGTATCCTCTGGGGAAAAAGAGAGTAACGCTTTTTTTTCTTCTTCTTCTTCTTCTTCTTCTTCTTCTTCTTCTTCTTCTTCTTCTTCTTCTTCTTCTTCTTCTTCTTCTTCTTCTTCTTCTTCTTCTTCTTCTTCTTCTTCTTCTTCTTCTTCCTTCTTCTTCTTCTTCTTCTTCTTCTTCTTCTTCTTCTTCTTCTTCTTCTTCTTCTTCTTCTTCTTCTTCTTCTTCTTCTTCTTCTTCTTCTTCTTCTTCTTCTTCTTCTTCTTCTTCTTCTTCTTCTTCTTCTTCTTCTTCTTCTTCTTCTTCTTCTTCTTCTTCTTCTTCTTCTTCTTCTTCTTCTTCTTCTTCTTCTTCTTCTTCTTCTTCTTCTTCTTCTTCTTCTTCTTCTTCTTCTTCTTCTTCTTCTTCTTCTTCTTCTTCTTCTTCTTCTTCTTCTTCTTCTTCTTCTTCTTCTTCTTCTTCTTCTTCTTCTTCTTCTTCTTCTTCTTCTTCTTCTTCTTCTTCTTCTTCTTCTTCTTCTTCTTCTTCTTCTTCTTCTTCTTCTTCTTCTTCTTCTTCTTCTTCTTCTTCTTCTTCTTCTTCTTCTTCTTCTTCTTCTTCTTCTTCTTCTTCTTCTTCTTCTTCTTCTTCTTCTTCTTCTTCTTCTTCTTCTTCTTCTTCTTCTTCTTCTTCTTCTTCTTCTTCTTCTTCTTCTTCTTCTTCTTCTTCTTCTTCTTCTTCTTCTTCTTCTTCTTCTTCTTCTTCTTCTTCTTCTTCTTCTTCTTCTTCTTCTTCTTCTCTTCTTCTTCTTCTTCTTCTTCTTCTTCTTCTTCTTCTTCTTCTTCTTCTTCTTCTTCTTCTTCTTCTTCTTCTTCTTCTTCTTCTTCTTCTTCTTCTCTTCTTCTTCTTCTTCTTCTTCTTTCTTCTTCTTCTTCTTCTTCTTCTTCTTCTTCTTCTTCTTCTTCTTCTTCTTCTTCTTCTTCTTCTTCTTCTTCTTCTTCTTCTTCTTCTTCTTCTTCTTCTTCTTCTTCTTCTTCTTCTTCTTCTTCTTCTTCTTCTTCTTCTTCTTCTTCTTCTTCTTCTTCTTCTTCTTCTTCTTCTTCTTCTTCTTCTTCTTCTTCTTCTTCTTCTTCTTCTTCTTCTTCTTCTTCTTCTTCTTCTTCTTCTTCTTCTTCTTCTTCTTCTTCTTCTTCTTCTTCTTCTTCTTCTTCTTCTTCTTCTTCTTCTTCTTCTTCTTCTTCTTCTTCTTCTTCTTCTTCTTCTTCTTCTTCTTCTTCTTCTTCTTCTTCTTCTTCTTCTTCTTCTTCTTCTTCTTCTTCTTCTTCTTCTTCTTCTTCTTCTTCTTCTTCTTCTTCTTCTTCTTCTTCTTCTTCTTCTTCTTCTTCTTCTTCTTCTTCTTCTTCTTCTTCTTCTTCTTCTTCTTCTTCTTCTTCTTCTTCTTCTTCTTCTTCTTCTTCTTCTTCTTCTTCTTCTTCTTCTTCTTCTTCTTCTTCTTCTTCTTCTTCTTCTTCTTCTTCTTCTTCTTCTTCTTCTTCTTCTTCTTCTTCTTCTTCTTCTTCTTCTTCTTCTTCTTCTTCTTCTTCTTCTTCTTCTTCTTCTTCTTCTTCTTCTCTTCTTCTTCTTCTTCTTCTTCTTCTTCTTCTTCTTCTTCTTCTTCTTCTTCTTCTTCTTCTTCTTCTTCTTCTTCTTCTTCTTCTTCTTCTCTTCTTCTTCTTCTTCTTCTTCTTCTTCTTCTTCTTCTTCTTCTTCTTCTTCTTCTTCTTCTTCTTCTTCTTCTTCTTCTTCTTCTTCTTCTTCTTCTTCTTCTTCTTCTTCTTCTTCTTCTTCTTCTTCTTCTTCTTCTTCTTCTTCTTCTTCTTCTTCTTCTTCTTCTTCTTCTTCTTCTTCTTCTTCTTCTTCTTCTTCTTCTTCTTCTTCTTCTTCTCTTCTTCTTCTTCTTCTCTTCTTCTTCTTCTTCTTCTTCTTCTTCTTCTTCTTCTTCTTCTTCTTCTTCTTCTTCTTCTTCTTCTTCTTCTTCTTCTTCTTCTTCTTCTTTCTTTTTTTCTTTCTTTTTTTTTTTTTCTCGCCACACTTCTTCACTATTCTTTGCTGCTGCCCGTTGTGGCCGACCACTGCAGCACTGCCCGTCACTTTCTTTCCCAGTACCAGTTGAGAATCACTGCCCTTGTTGTATGTCACATTTCTTCCACTCCATCACGGGTGGATGACTACTGCATTGGAACCAGTGGACGAGCAAGTTACTGTCTGATCTGATTATCACATACCGCATTGCATTCCCCATAACACCATCAGGTTTGTCAAATGTTAAAAAAAAAATCAAAGAAACAGACAAACAAGCAAACAAACAAGCACACAAACAAACCATGCCATACCACATCGCGCCACACCACTCATACGCCTCCCAGGTGAACGATTATGGCAGTGAGCAGCAGTGGAAGAACAAGTCACTGTGATTCTTTGAATGACACCACCCCACCGCACCAAACTCCACCGCATCACACCCCACTGCACATACCCTATCAGGTCAAGGACTACGGCAGCGAGCAGCAGTGGAAGAGCAAGTCAATGTCTGGTTACTTGACCCTTACTGCATTCCAAAGTAACACTACCGCACCGCATCACATCATAACCAATCGCACCGCACCGTACCGCACACCACACCCCAACAGGTGGACGACTACGGCAGCGAGCACCAGTGGAAGAGGAGGCGGCAGATGGCTCTCATGGAGAAGCGGAGAAACAGCCTGGAACCTTCCTTTGTTCAGGTATTCCTTCCGGGCCGGTGAAAGCGTCGGTTCTTCTTCATGGTATCTCCCTTCCTGATTTTTCAGTCGACTCAAAAGTCAGTGGCGGTTCTTATTCGTGGTATCTCCCTTCGCTCAAGCACTGCCCAAGGGGATCAGGGAAGTCATGGTTTCTTTTTCTAATTCGGCTCAAGACATGAGCTCTCGAGTTAGCGAGTCAGTTCTGTGACTTTTGTGTTACCACTGCCGTTTCGTGCAGCCATGGTATGATATGATGCATCCGTGGTTTTTTTTTAGTCCGTCCGCCCCTGCCGCTCCTCCCTTGCAATCTGACAAACTTCAACACCTGCAAATTCCTCCCGCTGCTGTTTCAAGAAGCTCTCGCCCACCACTTGTTTCGCTCCCACTCGCCCTTTGTGCAACGCTCCATGGAGCAGTGTACTGGTGAGGGCGTGGAGTTGCCACTCATTGGACTTCCGTTCCCCAGCCACATTCCCCTCGTGACTTTTGAGTCACCTGGACTCAAAAGTCACCTGGAGTTGCCACTCATTGGATTGGTTTTCCGTTCCCCAACCACATTCCCCTCCCTCTGCCACACAGGAAGCTCTCGCCCACCACTCCTTCGCCTCACACTCGCCCTTTGTGCAACGCTCCATGGAGCGGTGGAGCTTTGAGGGCGTGGTTGTTCTTTCACTCATTGGATTCCTCGCCTTCCTTCGATTCCACCCATGCCCTTCCCCACCCTGATTCCTCCCCCACGGCCACACAGGAAGCTCTTACCAACCATTTGTTTACGTCGCACTCGCCCTTTGTGCAACGGTCCATGCAGCAGTGGACGGGCGAGGGCGTGGGGTTCTCCCTCATCGAATCGGCTCTCGAGTTTGCAGTGCGGCGCGGCCCCCGGCTGCTGGCACAGATGCAGAAGGAAGGGGGGAGAGAGGGGGGGAGAGACTGGGGCAGAGAGGGGAAGGGGAGGTGGGAGGTGGTGAGGGGGAGAGATGGGATACAGGAGAGGGAGGAGGAGAGGAGGGAAGGGAAGCAGGACGCAGCAGGGAGTGTGGGGAGCAAGGATGCAGGCGCAATTCTGGTGTTTATGACGGGGTGGGATGATATTATTGGCATGCGGGACAGGCTGAGGGAGCATCCGCTGCTGGGGGATGAAAGCCGGGTGCTGCTGCTGACATGCCACGGCAGCATGCCCATCGAAGAGCAGGTGCGTGTGAGATGGGCTGAGGTGGGCTGAGGGGTACAAGGATTTTGTCATGGGGGACAGGACAGGCTGAGGAAGCATCCGCTGCTGGGAGATGAGAGCCGCGTGCTGCTGCTCTGCTCACATGTCATGGCAGCATGCCCATCGAAGAGCAGGTGCGTGTGAGATGGGGTGAGGGGCTAAGGGGATGGATCAATACAGGCTGAGGGACATTTGTTGTTGGGGGATGAGAGCCGGGTGCTGCTGCTCACGTGCCACGGGCATGAGCAGGTGCGTGCGAGATGGGGGTATGCAGTTGCCATCGTTACCTCACTTGGAGAAAACATGGCGAAAACTTTACCTCACATGGCGAAAACTTCCATCACCATCAACGATGTGGCCCTTGCCCCGCTCCCCCCACCTTCACCCCCCTATCTCCCCCTACCCTTCTTTTCCTCCAAGCAGAAGTTGATCTTCATCCCGCCACCCCCAGGAATCACCAACCAAGGTGATCCTGGCCTGGCCACCAACATGGCCGAAACCTCCATCACCATCAACGACGTTGCCCTGATCATCTTAACCCCTTCCCGCCCCCTGTGCTTTCCTGCCACCCCTGTCCCCCCTAACAGAAGCTCATAATCACCCCACCACCCCCAGGGGTTACTAAAGTCATTCTAGCCACCAACATGGCAGAGACATCCATCACCATCAACGACGTCTTGGCATCGTAAACCCTAACTCACCCTTTGCATCCCTCTCCCTCTTATCCCTCCTTAACCCCTCTTTCTCATCAAGCAGAAGCTCATACTCAACCTCCCTCCTCCCGGCATCACCACCAAGGTCATCGTAGCCATCAGCATGGCGGAAACCTCCATCACCATCAACGACGCCGTCACACATTCATTCCCCTCTCTTCGCCCCTTTCCTCCCCTATCCAACTTTCCCAAGCAGAAGCTAATATTCAACCCGCCACCCGCAGGGGTGACCAAGGTCATTCTAGCAACCAACATGGCGGAAACCTCCATCACCATCAACGATGTGGCCTTGGTCATCGACACAGGAAAGGCCAAGGAAACTTCCTACGACGCAGTCAACAACGTGCCGTGTCTCCTCCCCCAGTGGGTCTCCAAGGCGTCTGTGAAGCAGAGGCGGGGGCGCGCGGGGAGAGTGCGGCCGGGCGTGTGTTTCCACCTGTATCCGCGCCCGCTGTTTGCTGCTCTGCCGGACTATGGCCAGCCGGAGCTGCTGAGGGCGCCGCTGCACTCGCTGTGCCTGCAGATCAAGACTCTCGGCCTGGGGAACATCGGGGAGTTCCTGGGGAAAGCCATACAGCCGCCAGAGCCGCTAGCTGTGAGTGGGGGTATAGTTGGACCCTGGATGGGTTGTCAATTGCCTGCAGATCAAGACCCTTGGGCTGGGCAATATTGGAGAGTTCCTGGGGAAGGCCGTACAGTCACCAGTACCTCTAGCTGTGAGCTTGGGAATGGCTAGCAGTGGACGTGGGTGGGCTGGATTCTAATGGCAGATGGAAACCTGTGACGCGTCTAGGCATAGCGAGTGTTTCCATCCGTGACGCGTCTAGGCATAGCGAGTGTTTCCATTCCATCTGTGACGCGTCTAGGCATAGCGAGTGTTTCCATTCCATCTGTGACGCGTCTAGGCATAGCGAGTGTTTCCATTCCATCTGTGCCCGCGCCCGCTGTTTGCTGCTCTGCCGGCCTATGGTCAGCCGGAGCTGCTGCGGGCCAATGCAATAGAGCTGCTGCGGGCCAATGCAATAGAGCTGCTGCGGGCCAATGCAATAGAGCTGCTGCGGGCCAATGCAATAGAGCTGCTGCGGGCCAATGCAATAGAGCTGCTGCGGGCCAATGCAATAGAGCTGCTGCGGGCCAATGCAATAGAGCTGCTGCGGGCCAATGCAATAGAGCTGCTGGAGGATGTGGGGGCGACGGGGCGTTGGAGAAGGATTAGTACGTCATGCTAATCCCTGCACCTGTGTTTTCATGTTTTCTTTCATGCGTCTGTCCATGTATCCACGTGCACATCCATTCTTGTGCCATCCGTGTGTCATGCATGCATGCATGCAGGTGGACAATGCCATAGAGCTGCTGGAGGATGTGGGGGCGCTGGACAAGGATGAGAACCTCACACCGCTTGGTACGCATGCATGGCGTGGCATGACGTGGCATGGCGTGGCATGGATGGCATGGTGTGGCATGGCATGGCATGTCGTGGCGTGGCATGGCGTGGCGTGGCATGGCATGGCGTGGCGTGGCATGGCATGGCATGGCGTGGCATGGCGTGGTATGGCCACCGCCTGGCTCTGACATGCCACACACACACATGGATAAGGATGAGAACCTCACACCGCTTGGTACGCATCGCATGGCATAGCATGGCATGGCGTGGCGTGGCCATACATGATACACCCCACCCCATGCGTGTGGCATGCGCAGATGCACATTCTCACATGCCACACACACACATGGGCAAGGATGAAAGCCTCACACCACTGGGTACGCATCGCATGAACATGTCCCTCATGCGTGCGTGTGCCTCTCCATCCGCACCTTTCTCCCAGGCCAACTCAATGTGCTACCCCCATCCCATCATGCCATGTATCTCTCCTTTCCTCACCTTTCCTCTCCTCTCCTCTCCTCTCCTCTCCTCTCCTCTCCTCTCCTCTCCTCTCCTCTCCTCTCCTCTCCTCTCCTCTCCTCTTCTTATCATCTCCTCTCCTCACCTCACCTCACCTCTCCTCTCCTCTCCTCTCCTCTCCTCTCCTCTCCTCTCCTCTCCTCTCCTCTCCTCTCCTCTCCTCTCCTTTTCGCTCCTCTCGTCTCCTCTCCTCTCCTCTCCACTTCTCTTGTTGCCTCTTATCTCGTTTCCTCCCCTCTCCTCTCCTTTCCTCCTCTCCTCTCCTCTCCATTCCTCTCCTCTCCTCTCCTCTCCTCTCCCTTCCTCTCCTCTCCTCTCCTCTCCTCTCCTCTCCACTTCTCTTGTTGCCTCTTATCTCGTTTCCTCCCCTCTCCTCTCCTTTCCTCCTCTCCTCTCCTCTCCATTCCTCTCCCCTCCTCTCCTCTCCTCTCCCTTCCTCTCCTCTCCTCTCCTCTCCTCTCCTCTCCTCTCCACTTCTCTTGTTGCCTCTTATCTCGTTTCCTCCCCTCTCCTCTCCTTTCCTCCTCTCCTCTCCTCTCCATTCCTCTCCTCTCCTCTCCTCTCCTCTCCCTTCCTCTCCTCTCCTCTCCTCTCCTCTCCTCTCCACTTCTCTTGTTGCCTCTTATCTCGTTTCCTCCCCTCTCCTCTCCTTTCCTCCTCTCCTCTCCTCTCCATTCCTCTCCCCTCCTCTCCTCTCCTCTCCCTTCCTCTCCTCTCCTCTCCTCTCCTCTCCTCTCCACTTCTCTTGTTGCCTCTTATCTCGTTTCCTCCCCTCTCCTCTCCTTTCCTCCTCTCCTCTCCTCTCCATTCCTCTCCTCTCCTCTCCTCTCCTCTCCTCTCCTTTCCTCTCCTCTCCTCTCCTCTCCTCTCCTCTCCACTTCTCTTGTTGCCTCTTATCTCGTTTCCTCCCCTCTCCTCTCCTTTCCTCCTCTCCTCTCCTCTCCATTCCTCTCCTCTCCTCTCCTCTCCTCTCCCTTCCTCTCCTCTCCTCTCCTCTCCTCTCCTCTCCTCTACTTCCCTCTCCTCCCTACAACTCGCGTCTCTCCCAACCCAACCTGCCTTTCTCTCCCCCTTCGCCAGGTCGGCACCTCACAGCACTGCCCCTGGAGCCACGGGTGGGGAAGATGCTGGTGATGGCGGCGGTGCTCTCATGTGTCAACCCTGTGCTCACTGTAGGAGCCACTCTCAGTGAAAGAGAGCCGTGGGTGCGACCAGCTGATAAGCGAGAGGTGAGAATGAGGCACGCAGAGGAGGGGGAGACGAGGGAGTGATGGCGGCGGTGCTGTCGTGTGTGAACCCTGTGCTCACTGTAGCTGCTACCCTTAGTGAGAGAGAGCTGTGGGTGCGACCGGCAGATAAGAGAGAGGTAAGTAGGTCACTGGGTGACTTGGCTTCTTGCGTGTGTGAACCCGGTGCTCACTGTGGTGGCTACCTTCAGCGCGAGAGAGCCGTGGGTGCGACCAGCAGATAAGAGAGAGGTAAGATTGGGGCACGCAGATGAAGGAGGAGGGTCGCGGCGGTGCTAGCATGTGTGAACCCGGTGCTCACTGTGGTGGCTACCTTCAGCGAGAGAGAGCCGTGGGTGCGACCAGCAGATAAGAGAGAGGTAAGATTGGGGCACGCAGATGAAGGAGGAGGGTCGCGGCGGTGCTAGCATGTGTGAACCCGGTGCTCACTGTGGCGGCTACCCTTAGCGAGAGAGAACCGTGGGTGCGACCGGCTGATAAGAGAGAGGTGCGGAGGGGTATGTGAAAAGGGATGTGAGAAGAAAATGAGGGGGAGATGAAGGGGTGTGATGGCGGCGGTGCTGGCATGTGTGAACCCTGTGCTCACTGTAGCTGCTACCCTTAGTGAGAGAGAGCTGTGGGTGCGACCAGCAGATAAGAAAGAGGTGAGAATGAGGCAGGAATATGAAGGGGGAAGTGAAGGGGTGATGGCAGCAGTGCTGTCGTGTGTGAGCACTGTGCTTACTGCGGCTGCTACCCTTAGTGAGAGAGAGCCATGGGTGCGACCGGCGGATAAGAGAGAGGTGAGCAGGGATGTGAGTGCGAATGAGGCAGGAAGGTGAAGGAGTGAGTGATGGTAACGCTGCTGCTATGTGTCAACCCTCTCCCTTCACAGCAGTGCTGTTGTTCGTGATCCCATGTGCTCGCCGGGATGGCCACTCGCAGTGAGCGAGAGCCGTGGGTGTGGTTGGCGGATAAGGGAGAGGTGAGCAGGGAGAGGGGAGAGGGAGTCGTGGCAGATATATTGTGGTGTAACAGTCAGCAACCAAACATTTGGCCACTTTTGAGAATTCCAAAACGCTCACGATTGGGTACTGAGTTGACAAATGAATCGGAGAGCAAGATTATGGAGCTATATCCCGCCGACAAAATAACTAAGTTCTTCAAGCTCTTCAAGCTATCCTGTTTATCTCCTTGATGATTCTATGGTTGTACCACATGTGTGCACGCTTACAAAGATATTATTACACCATAATCTATACCCAAGTTCTTCATTTGAATGCCAAAGAGTGTGACATTCCTCTGGAACCGTTGGAGCCGCTGGACTGAGCTTAGGCGTCATAGCAATTTTCCTCATTCGGCTTTGAGCTGTCCAAAGCACATTCTGTTCAAGACAGCCTTGTAGACTTTGAGCAAGGAGGAAAATCCGTCTTGAACAGAATGTGCTCTGGACAGCTAAAAGCCGAATGAGGAAAATTGCTATGACACCTAAGCTCAGTTCAGCGGCTCCAACGGTTCCAAAGGAATGTCACGCTCTTTGGCATTTAAATGAAGATCTTGGGCATAGATTATGGTGTGATAACATCTTTGTAAGCGTGCACATATGTGGTACAACCATAGCATCATCAAGGAGATAAGCAGGATAGCTTGAAGAGCTTGAAGAACTAAGTTATTTTGTCAGCGGGATATAGCTCCATAATCTTGCTCTCCGATTCATTTGTCAACTCAGTAACAACCACCAACGCAAGATGTTGTGAGTCAACTCAAAGCAAGATTTGGGTATCTTTGTCATGTGATGATCAACCCCTTGCTCGCTGGGCATTGGGAGAGGTGAACTTCGCCGCTGCTTCAGGGGTATCTCATGATCCATCCATCCATCCATCCATCCATCCATCCATCCATCCATCCATCCATCCGTCCACCCGTCCGTCCGTCCGTCCGTCTGTCCGTCCGTCCGACCGTCCATCCATCCATCCATTCATTTACCCACCATCTTCAATCCATTCTTCCCCAATTCATTTCTCTCTTACCCTTTGAATCAGGTGGCTGATTCAGTGCGCCTGCGCTTTGCAGGGGACGACTGCAGCGACCACTTCGCGGCAGTGAGGGCGTTCGAGGGGTGGGTGACGGCTCTGGGATCAGCAACCAGCCGCAGCGATGGATACAGCGCTGCCAGGGCGTACTGCTACGACCACTTCCTATCGCACCCCACCATGCAGGCACGTGGTGGTGTTATGGATACATCCTGACTCTGTTTTAACTTTCTTTCTCTTCTTTCGCGTTCTGAATTCTAAGGTTCACACGCACTTTCACAGCGCATAAGGTCGGCAGCAATTTTGGTGGTGTACTGTACTTGGCTGTGAGACGTCTCAAACCTGTAAATTCTGCGGCCGTAAATTATAATTCTTGCTGGTTATAAGCACAATTTTTTCCTAGATTCTCATTTCTCGTTGTAGCTTATTTCTTCTTGTCAGTTAACTTGTGTTGTCTTGTCCCCATCCTTTCTTTTCCTTGTCAGTCGCCCTTTCTTCTCCAATTTCTGTATAAAGTAGTGTTTTGAGACGTCTCAAAACACTTCTTCATACTCGTCAGTCACACTCTCTTCTCCGGTTTCTGGCCAAATTATCTCTTTCCAATCTGTACTGGGCCCTGCCAACTGTCTCGAGATGGTAACCAAATCGTATTATTTTCCGACTGTACCATCTGCTGCCCTGCCTGTCCGCCAGGCAATAGCAGGGCTGAGGCGGCAGCTGCTGGGGACACTTGGCGAGCTGGGATTGGTGGACGTGCAGCAAGGCATGGATGAGGCCAACAGCAGGAGCAACGACCCCGAGTTCGTGCGAGCGGCGCTGCTGGCTGGTCTGTTCCCCGGAGTGGCTTCCGCTGTGGTGAGTGTGTGTGAGTGTGTGTGGGGGCTTTGCATGTGCGCAGTATGAGTGAGGCCAACAGCAGGAGCAACGACCCCGAGTTCGTTCGAGCGGCGCAGCTGGCTGGACTGGCATCGGCAGTGGTGAGAGGGGAAGAGAGAGAGTGCATTCCTGGGTGGCTGTGTGCGAGAAACAGACAGCTGCTTGCATGAATGCATGCATGCATGCATACGCAATGGCATTCTTGTGCTTGGCAGGATTGCATCACATGCATGGATGATGAAAGTCATCGTAGCTCACAGGATTGTTCCGCTCGTAGCTCTCTCTTGTCTCGGTTGACTTCTCGACAAGTATCTAGTTCCCTGCATCACTGTTCACTCATTTGACTGCATTCGTTCCCCAACCGGGCACCCACCACCCCATATATCTTCAACCCTCTTCACCCTTCACCTCCCTTCACCTCCCCGTCTGCTGGTCACATCCAGAAACGGACGCGCAGCACAACGTACAAGACGGAGGAGGATGGGGAGGTGAACATCCACCAGGTGCGTATTAATGTGGTGAATGGAGAAGAGGGGGGGACAACGAAGGGGGAAGGAGGGGAAGGGGAGGTGTTGTGAGCAGCACAACGTACAAGACGGAGGAGGATGGGGAGGTGAACATCCACCAGGTGCGTATTAATGTGGTGAATGGAGAAGAGGGGGGGACAACGAAGGGGGAAGGAGGGGAAGGGGAGGTGTTGTGAGCAGCACAACGTACAAGACGGAGGAGGATGGGGAGGTGAACATCCACCAGGTGCGTATTAATGTGGTGAATGGAGAAGAGGGGGGGACAACGAAGGGGGAAGGAGGGGAAGGGGAGGTGTTGTGAGCAGCACAACGTACAAGACGGAGGAGGATGGGGAGGTGAACATCCACCAGGTGCTTACGTATGTAGTGAGATGAGATCTCTGGTGCAATGTGTGATGAGATGTGTGGTGAGACATGTGATGAGATGTGTGGTGAGATGTGGTGTAGAACATGCATCATTTTCCAGGTAAAGAGCTCAACATGCACCACGTGTTCATGTATGCCGCACATGTAGGAAGAATATTAAGTCGTTACTCCTCCTAGTTTCTCGGCAATCACCCGCTCCCCATTGGTCCTCATCCCCCATTCCCCACCACCCCCTATCCCTCATCCGCCATCCCCATCACCCTTATCCCCCCCTCCCTGGCAGTCCTCGGTCAATGCTGGTCTCACGCGTTTCCCCTACCCCTGGCTGGTCTTCAACGAGAAGGTGCTGTGCCATGCCATGGGGTGCTGTGGCATGCCATGGGGTGCTGTGGCATGCCATGGGGTGCTGTGGCATGGCATTTCATGGCATGGTGCGCCCTTATGCCATGGACAGGGGTGTGATGTGATTTTTCTTTCCATGGAATGTGCTAGTCTCGATTGCTTGCCCTACCCCTGCCTGGTAATGCGGATTGCCATGGCATGGCATGGCATGGCATAGTGTGGCGTGGTGTGGCGTGGTGTGGCATGGAATGGTGTGGCATGGGATGGTGTGGCATGGGATGGTGTGGCATGGGATGGTGTGGCATGGGATGGTGTGGCATGGGATGGTGTGGCATGGGATGGTGTGGCATGGGATGGTGTGGCATGGGATGGTGTGGCATGGGATGGTGTGGCATGGGATGGTGTGGCATGGGATGGTGTGGCATGGGATGGTGTGGCATGGGATGGTGTGGCATGGGATGGTGTGGCATGGGATGGTGTGACATGGGATGGTGTGGCATGGGATGGTGTTGCACGGCTTGGTGTGGCATGACATGGTGTGGCATGGGATGCCGTGGTGTGATGTGGCCTCACGCCACAGCCGGGGGTCGGATACGCCTGACCACGAATCATGCTCGTCTCGCTCACAACCCATACCCATTCCTATCGTTGAGTCGACTTTAAAACATAATCAAAATCTGGGGGTTTGAATCGACTCAAAAATAGACTCTAAAAACAAGTTGTGAGTCGACGAAAAAATAGACATGCTCGTCTCACTCGCATCCTGGACCCATTCCGTGGGTCTTCAACAACAAAGTGTTGTGCCATGGCATGGGGTGGTGTGATATGGCCTTATGTCGTGGTGTGATATGGCCTTACGTCGTGGTGTGTTATGGCCTTACGTCGTGGTGTGATATGGCCTTACGTCGTGGTGTGTTATGGCCTTACGTCGTGGTGTGTAATGGCCTTACGTCGTGGTGTGATATGGCCTTACGTCGTGGTGTGATATGGCCTTACGTCGTGGTGTGTTATGGCCTTACTTCGTGGTGTGATATGGCCTTACGTCGTGGTGTGTTATGGCCTTACGTCGTGGTGTGTTATGGCCTTACGTCGTGGTGTGTAATGGCCTTACATCGTGGTGTGTAACCCTCTCATCTTCACCCTTCTGTACCCCACACCTCATCCCCCATGCTCCCACACACACAGATCAAGACGAATTCAGTCTTTATCCGCGATTCTACCGGTGTGTCCGATGCGGGGCTGCTGCTGTTCGGAGGGCCGCTCATCCCCATGACCGGTGTATTCTCTTTCACCCGTGAAGTGAACCCGTGAAGTGAACCCGTGAAGTGAACCCGTGAAGTGAACCCGTGAAGTGAACCCGTGAAGTGAACCCGTGAAGTGAACCCGTGAAGTGAACCCGTGAAGTGAACCCGTGAAGTGAACCCGTGAAGTGAACCCGTGAAGTGAACCCAAAAACTGTTGGGAGGGCCGCTCACGGGTGTATTCTCTTTCACCCGTGAAGTGAACCCAAAAACCAACACTGCAATCATCCCTTCTGCCCGCACATGACCAGATCAAGACAACTTCAGTCTTTATCCGCGATTCTACTGGTGTCTCTGATGCGGGACTGTTGCTGTTTGGAGGGCCGCTCACCCCCACCACCGACCCTGGGTATCTTCACATGCTGGATGGCTACTTTGAGTTCTTCATGCCGCCCGCCGCCGCCCGCTCCGTGCTCGCCTTGCGGTCTGAACTTGACGCGCTGATTCAACGCAAGGTGAGAAGCAGGGCTGGTGGTGGGTGCTGATAGGTGGTGCAAGGTGGTGAGATGTGCTTTAGGGTGCTAGTAGGAGGTGGTGTGTGTTCTTTTGGCGCCTTGAATCAGACTGACTGACTGACCCCGAACACCTGCACATACTGGACCAGTAGAGACCATGCTGGGACTTACTTTGAGTTCTTCATGCTGTCGCTCTGTTCTGTTCTCCCAGCTAGAGGAGTGGCCATTCTGGGAGCCATCTTGGGCCTTGTGGAGTGCGAGCAGTCACGCAGCACCTTCACCACAGCCCTCATGCCAGAAAGAGTTCGGGTGCAATTCTCTTTCTTTTCCCGTGTCATCACCCCGAGCAGCTGAGCTGGTTAACCCTCGCCTTCCCTTCACACCAGAAGACAAGGCCATTCTTGGAGCTGTTCCCTTCCTTCTGCACTGCAAGCAGCCACACAGCACCTTTACTATCTGTTTACCTCCTGATAACTAATCACTCGTCTGATTATTTTCTCCTCTTTTTCCTTTTGTCCACCCCAACACAGCTGGGGAACCCTCGCCTTCCCTTAACAGCAGAAGACGAGGCCATTCTGGGAGCCGTCTCGGACCTTCCCCAGTGCGAGCAGTCACAAGGCACCTTCACCATCGGCCTCCAGCCAAATCATCAGTCGTGCTTTTTCTTTCTTCGCTTTTCCCTTTTCACCACCCCAACGCAGCTGGAGAACCCTCGCCTCCCCTTAACGCCAGAAGATGAAGCTATTCTGGGAGCTGTTTCTGACCTGCTGCAGTGCGAGCAGTCACAAGGCACCTTCACCATCGGCCTGCAGCCAAAGCTCGCCCCTCCCAAGCCAGCCAAACCCGTGCGGGCGAAAGCAGTGGACATGAAACTGGAAGTGGGGAAGGATTTCAAGTCGTACGTTCACAACAACTGCAAGATCCATTTCCTGGGCAAACCTCGGTACTACACGGATCAGATCGGGACGAAAAAGGAGAAGGTGTATCAATGCACGATGCGGCTTGGCGGGGCTGCGGCAGGGATTGATTTTGTCGGCGAGCCTGCTTCTACGAAGAAAGTTGCCGAGTGGAACGCGGCTGTGGAGGCGTGGCAGTGGATTCTGGAGTATAAGAAGGTGGAGAGGAAGGAGAAGGAGAAGAAGGAGGAGGTGAAGAAGGCTGGGAGGAAGGAGAGAAAGGAAATTAGGAAGGCGAATCATAAGATGGAGGAGAGGTGGGAGTTTTGGAGGAAGAAGTATGAAGAGGAGGAGGCAGCTGCTAGAGCTGCAAAACGGAAGGAGAAGGGAGGAGGGAGTGGGGGGGGTGTAGGGGTGGACGAGGGAGAGGCGATGGGTGAAAAGATGGTGGAGGAAAGCGGGAAAGGTGTGGAAGAGAAGGGAGGTAAGTCGCGGGGGCGCAGAAAGGGGGGAAATGCTACGAAAAGGGAGCAGAAGGAGGGGGAAAGTGAGGGGAAGGGGAAGCAGGAGCTTCTTCCGTTGAGTCAAGCAACCAAGGGAGCTAGGAGGGTGGCGGTGAAACGGAGAGGGAAGAAAAGAGCAGGAGGAGCAGAGGAGGGGGTTGATGCAGCAGGGGTAGCAGGAGAGGGAGTGGTGGATGGGGATGGTGCAAATGAGTGGGCTGATATGGCCAGTGGAGGGGATGAGGAGGAGAGGGGAGGGAAACGTAAGAAGAAAAGCAAAGGTAAGGGAAAAAACACGTTAGAGGTTGTGCTTTCTGGCGATGATGATGTTTCCGAAATGTCTCAAAACAGGAAGGGCAAGGTGAAGGGTAAAAGCACCTTGGAGGTGGTACTTCCTAGTGATGATGATGGTATGCAAGGAAGGGTAGGGCAGAAACGAGGTAGGAAGCGGGCTGCGGAGTAGATATGGTCTAGACTAGATTAGAGATGGTTTGTAGGAGTAGGTTCCTTGTGGAGCATGCGTGGTGGGTAAAAGTGGATGGTAAAGATACTACGGTACGGTATCCCTGTACTGATGTGCTGTGATGTGATAAGAAAGATGCCAATTGATAAGAAAGAAAGCAAGCTTTCTCAATGTGATATGACAAGGAACTCAGGTGTTTCCATGAAGCAACAACTCGCACATTTGTTAGAAAAGCTCCAACTCTGCGCTCATATGTTGAGGTATTGTAAGTTGTAACCCCCCTTTTAGGGGGGTAGCTCAAGTACAAATCAAACCAACCGGTAAGCTCAGGTCCGGTGGTCCAAGTGCTACGCGGCTGAACTATGAATTACTACTGGTACCATTATTTACCGTATTCCAGCCAAAAAAAACAAACAAACAAACTAAGAAACAAACAAAGAAACAAACAAACAAAAACATACGGTAACAGAAACTCGTGATTGCACGGTTAACCATGTGATGGGATATCTGCACCACACAGAAACCTCCCCGGCAATCAAATGCCTAAAAATACACAGTATCAATGAACACTACCTAGAATGTCATGCATATTTGTATGATTATGGAGGCTGAGTCAGTGTTGCGTGCGGCGTGCAAACACGAAGACGGAGCCGTGGGATCCTCGGCCGATGCGCCCGCGCTCATCGACGTACGACACGGAGAGGCACACACAGACGACTGCCCTCCGTACAAGTATTAGGCAGCACACTGCTTGCTACGGCATATTATTACTCTAATTACGTGCGGCGTGCGAACACAAAGATGGAGCCTTGGGATCCTCGGCCACTGCGAACACGCTCATCGAGATACGACACGGAGAGGCGCACAAACGACTGCCCTCTGTACAAGTATCAGGCAGCGCACTCTATTTCTATTACTCTAATTACGTGCGGCGTGCAAACACAAAAATGGAGCCTTGGGATCCCCGGCCAATGCGCACCCGCTCATCGAGGTACGACACAGACAGGCGCACGGACGATTGCCCTCCGTAGGAGAACTTGAGCGCGCCCAGAGCGAGGTTGGGCGCCTCAAACACCGCCCGCACCCACTTGTTGTCCAGCGGCTCAAAAGTGCCTGAAGGGAGGAAGCAAGAGTGGGGAAGGGGGAAGGTGGGGTATGGGGAAGGCGAGGCAGGAAGAAGTTGAGTCCTAGGTAGGGTGCCTCAAACACCGCCCGCATCCACTTGCTGTCCAGCGGCTCAAACGTGCCTGGTGGGAGGACGCAAGAGTGGGGAGAGGGGAAGACGGGGAAGGGGGAAGGTAAGGCGGGAAGAAGTGGACTTGAAAGTCACCCTAGCCTTGGCGCCTCAAACAGAGCTCGCACCCACTTGTTGCCCAGCGGCTAGAACATGCCTGATGGGAGGTTTGTGGAGGGGAGAATGGCAGGAATGAGGTGGGGGAATGAGAAGGTGGGGGTAGGGGGAGGTAGGAACGGGTGTGTTAGGTTGTGTCATTACCTGATCAATTATTCCATGTCAAAGCCTCCCCTTCCTTCCCCTCCCACCATAAAATATGATACTGCTAACATACATACCCCACCTTTGAGGCTGATGCTGCCGGGGATCAGGGAGAGCGCGTCAAACTCCACGAGGTTATCGATTCCGTTGGGCGGGTAGATGGTCTGCATCAGGTCCTTGGATCGCAGCAGCAGGTGGTTAGTGACACCGCACCCAACCGAACTGCATCGCACATATACCTGACACACACCGATGATCTGCTGTAGGTCCTTGGAGTGCAGCAGGGGGTTATTGACACGCATCTACCATACCTGACACCATAACCAGCGCCTAGATCTCCCATCTACCCCTCCCTTCTTCTCCCTCCCCTCCCCTCCCACCCCGAAATTTGGTGCCACTTCACGACCCACCCTTGAGGCTGATGCTGCCGGGGATCAGGGAGAGAGCATCAAACTCCACGAGGTTATCCACCCCGTTGGGCGGGTAGATGGTCTGCATCAGGTCCTTGGATCGCAGCAGGTGGTTACCTTGAGACATCTACCTGGCACAGCACCGCACCCAACCCAACTGCATCCCACCTTTAAGGCTGATGCTGCCGGGGATCAGGGAGAGCGCGTCGAATTCCACGAGGTTATCCACCCCGTTGGGCGGGTAGATGGTCTGCACCAGGTCCTTGGATCGCAGCAGTGTGCGCCCCAGCATGCTGCGGTAGTACCCGCCCGCTGCTGTAGGTCTAGATGTGTATGCCACCTCCCATGCTGTTGTGAGGGGGCACAGAGATAGATAGAGGCACAGAGGGAATAAGGGGTGGTGGGTGGGTCAAGGAAGCCGTGTGGAGGTGGTGGTTGGATCACAGCAATGTGCGCCCCAGCATGCTGCGATAGTACCCGCCTGCTGCTATGGGGCGCGACGTGTACGCCACCTCCCATGCTGGCGTGCGGGTAGAGATAGACAGGTGCACACAAGTCAGAGGGAGAGTAAGGGGCGGTGGGGTTGGTTAATGAGTCTGCAGGTGGTGGTTGGATCGCAGCAGCGTGCATCCCAGCATGCTGCGGTAGTAGCCCACACATGCACACGCACATGCATACAGTCATTCTCGCTTTTAGTCACACAGGGGGGGCGATGAACAGGTCAGAGAGGGCATGATGAATGTACCTTTTTTTTACAGCAGCAGGAGGAGAGAGTTAAGTCGTCCCAAGCAGCATGTTTTGAGACGTCTCAAAGTCGTTCCCAAGCAGCAGCATTTCACCCATATCCCCTTTAAAATGCCCAGCCACAATCAAACACCGGCAAACTCTTGAGCGGCACACCGCCCCGTCCACTGCTGAATGCTCCGCTGCTCTATGCATGCCCGCTTACCACCGAACGCCAGGGGAATCTTGAGCGGCTCCTCCAGCCCCACAGCCGCCAGCACTCCCATGCCCTTGCATTGCTGCTCCACTGCCGCGCCCTTTTCACCCATTCCTCTACACTCCCTACACTCCCTGCAGTCCCTTGCTCTAAGCGCCGGCTTACCTCCAAATACCAGGCGGCTCTAGAGCGGCTCCTCCAGCCCCACAGCCACCAGCTACTCCACTGCCACACCCGTCACTCATTCCCCTGCGGTCCCTAGAGTCCCCGCGGTCCCTGCTGTCTCTACAATCCCTAGGGTCCCCGCGGTCCCTGCGGTCTCTACAATCCCTAGGGTCCCTACGGTCCCTATGGTCCCTAGGGTCCCTGCGGTCCCTGCGGTCTCTACAATCCCTAGGGTCCCTACGGTCCCTATGGTCCCTAGGGTCCCTGCGGTCCCTGCTGTCTCTACAATCCCTAGGGTCCCCGCGGTCCCTGCTGTCCCTTGGCCTAAGCGCTGGCTTACCTCCGAACACCAGCGGGCTCTTGAGCGGCTCCCCCAGCCGCACGGCCTCCAGCCGCTCCACTCTCGTGCCCTTCCTTTGACTCCAGTACAGCCCTTTGCGACATGCCCCATTGCCGTATGCAAGCACGCTTACCTCCCAACACCAGCGGGCTCTTGAGCGGCTCCCCCAGCCCCATTGCTTCCAGCTGCTCCTCTCTCATGCCCTTTACACTCGACCTTACAATCCCTTGCTATTAACGTCTGCTTACCTCCGAACACCAGCGGGCTCTTAAGCGGCTCTTCCAGCCCCATTGCTTCCAGCTGCTCCACTACCACACCCTTTTCACCGGTTCCCGTACAATCCCTACGGCCTGTACTGTCCCTCTCTCAACATGTACGTACCTCCAAACACTAAGGGACTCTTGAGCGGCTCTTCCAGCCCCATTGCTTCCAGCTGCTCCACTATCGCCGTCACTGCCGCCCGGCCCTCGTCGCTCATCGCCGCCCCTCGGTCCGAGTCCTTCACCTGGCGGGGGGGAGAAATAAAGCACGCAACGCATTTCATCTTCCTGCCCTGCCCCGTCACTGCCGCCCTGCCCTCGTCGCTCATCGCCGCCCCTCTGTCAGTGTCTTTCACCTGCAGGGGGAAAAAAAAAGTACAAACTGAGGTCTTATCGCCCTGCCCCACCCTGCTCTGCCCTGCTCCGCCCTGTTCTACCCTGCCATCCCCTTCCCGGCCCTCATCGCTCATCGCCGCCCCTCTGTCCGAGTCCTTCACCTGCCGGCTGGAAACAGTACAGCATGCATTCTTATCTCCCTGCCCTGACTCGCCCTGCCTTTTCCTTCGCTTCCCTTCCTACCCTGCCCTGCCCTGCCCTACCCTGCCCTGCCCTACCCTGCCCTGCCCTGCCTCCCTTCTCTCATCGCTCATTGCTACCCCTCTAACCGCGTCCTTAACCCTTAGGTAGACAAAGCACAGCATGGTTTCTCGAATAGCGTCAACACTCTGTTTTACGGCTTATTACCAAAGGAAAACACAAAAAATGCTGACCATGAACAGCAGTTTATCGACCAGCTCTGAAGCCCGCGAGTCCGTCGCGGAAGCACTCGCAGCCGCATCGGCCGCCGCTCGAACGCTAACACCTGCTCCGCGCAGCCGACCATTCGGCAACGCTTGACTACCTAACCGCAGTCCCGCTGATTGAACCGCTACGCGGCCGCAGGAATTGAGTGCGTCTGGCCGAGCGAGCGACACGAGGCAGGACGTGCTAGCAATGGGTGTGCTAGTAATGGAGAAATTGCTGGCGGGGGCTAGGGCTCTGAGAGGCCGCGATGCGCCGATTCCGGCGCTCGACGCCAACGAAACCGAAGCTGAAGCGGCTGTCGCCATGCGTGTTACAAAATTTCGTCAGAGAGTTCGCCTGCGTGTTCGCTACTTCGGGGCTCTTCGTAGAGAATGAACTTAGGTGACTAATAATGTGGCCAGGCCTGCCAACACGTCTTTAGAATTTCACCTGAATTTGGTTATTGTGCAACCAATATCGAGGCAGGCAGGACGACAGTGTCGATCGATTATTGTCAGTGACACGTCATGATTACGTTTTGAGACCAGAAGATCTCAAAGAAAGTGGGTCGACCAATTAGCGAAGTGCACAAGGATCGTTGTGCCCAGTTCATTACCGATCCCCTATTGCATTTTTGCGAAGCACTTGAACAAATGGATCGTCTGTACACCGCTAGCCACCACTAGACTCCACTATTAAGTGCTTGTTTGAATGAAACACTGAAAACCACAGTAGCTGGTTATGGAATACTAAATTGGTGGCAATTGCAAGCTCACCACCTCTGCAAAAGGCCTTCTCGCCTGATTCTCCCAGACTCAACCAGTTGTTAGCTGCTCCAGAGTCACAGTATCCTTCGCACAGGTTAAACCACCACGAACACTAGCATAACCCCCAGTTACATCTCAGTAAACCCCCATAAACCACCTTGTTGCAACTGCACCAACAACACCATCACCGCCACTAAATCATTGCCCCCAGCTTCTAACCGTCGAAGAAAGAACAGCCTGGGAACCCATCCCATGAGCACACGAATACCAAGATGTCTCACAATCAGCATGACCAGCAAGCAATTCATCGCCCCCAGCTTCTAACCGTAGAGGAACACCCATGGGCAGACAGATTCCGAGATGTTTCACGATCAGCATAACCACCTGATCACCGCCCCCAGCTTCTAACCGTCGAGGAGCGGACAGCCGGGTTACCCATCGACTCAAACACCTCTGGGGCGAGCATACCCCCCAGCTGCGTCTCCAACCTCTGCTTGAACGTCCGGGCGGCCTTCGCCGGATCATCCACTGACGTCCTTGCAGTCTCGCCCTTCTTGGCTCTCGCGGCAGCACCTGGGGGAGGTTGGAACTGCAGTTCCACCTCCACCAGCACCCCCTTCGCCCCAGCAAGTTTCTTCCTCAGAATCCTCACATTCCGTGTGTTGGTGAGAGCAGCAGCAGCCAGCCCGTGCCTTAGAGCCCCGTCCACCTCATCGTTCCATGCGTCCAGCCTGGCAGCAGGAAACATCAAGGCAGCTTCCACAACAGCTGTGGGACCGCCGTTCCCATCCTCCCCTTCCCCACCACCCCCATCCCCTCCTCCTCCGTCCATCCCGCCATCCTCGGGAATATCTGTTGTCCACCATGCACACGGCAGCGGGTACTTAAGTAAGTGCCGCATGGTTTTCACCTCAATCTCCTCTGAAAGTGCCGGCACGCTTTTCTGCCCGATCTCTTCTGCCCCTTGCTTCAAAAACCCCACCTTCCAAGCGATATGATTCTTGTAACTCTCCGGCAAAATCCTCTCTGCCTGCCTTGTAATCTCCGGCCCCAGCCTTCTCTCCCCAGCCATAGCTCCCAGCACAGCAGCAGCTCGCGCACGCACGATAATGGAGTTCTCTGTATCGAGTACGAGCGATGCCAGACGATCCACAACCTGATGCTGCAACCCCAACTCAACAGCCTTTGAGGAAAGTCTGAACAATTTCTGCATGAGCATCAGAGCACACACCCTCGGATCCGTAGCAGCTTGCCCCTGTCTCCCTGCCGGTACCTCCAGCAACAGCAGCTTCGACAGAAGCGAGATGAGCTCTTCAGAAGAGACGAAATCCGCCACGTCATTCGAAGTAACCATGCGCAGGAACAGTAACACGCCGGCCTGCAGCAGCGCGCGCCGCTCTTCGCCGCTGCCCGACGTGAAAAAGTCCGTCACGGGCAGGAAGATGTCCGTGTTGGTGATGGTCAGCAGGTGCGGGCGGCTCTGGAAAAGCGCGAGCAGGGCCAAAAGCAGCCTTCTACGATCCGCAGTGGTGAACTCCTCATATCTCTTGCCTTCATTTGGCGCAGCAGTGACTATAGCCTTGCGAATCTCCCTCACCAGTTGCAGCTCCACTCGCTTCCCGAGATCAAATCTCGGCTGCCGCAACAACTGGTCCACGTAACACCCACCAATGTACATCTCCGGAACGTACCCCGCCTTTTCCTGCTCTGAAAACAACGTTTCCGCAGCCTCTGCTCCTCCTGCTGCTCCCTCTCCTTCATCCTTTGCCAACTCGATGCTCTCGCGCACGTACTGCAGGAAGAAGGGGCGGAACGCCGCTGCTTCCTCCCCGCCTCGCCCCACACTGCCGCCGTCCGGCTCCTTCCCTGCCTCCAGATCCCACATAGGCAGCCCTAGCTGCTGCTTCCCCTCACTCACCTCCCCCTCATGCCTCCTTAGCACCTCCTCTGCTTCCCTCTTGATTGCATCTCTCGCTCTTCTCGCCGAAGCGTCATTCCACACAAGCAGCGGCGTGCAACTGGGAGATCCGATGGCTCGGCACGCTCCTTCCGGATCGGACATGAGGAGCGAGAGGATGCGCATCGGCAGCAGCAGGTACAGCACCCGAACCGAGATGAGAGGCACGGCCGGCGCCGCGCCTGGCTCCAGGAGCGAAATCAGGTTGTGGATATCCCGAACGTCCCCGTGAGGGTCGGAAAACACCTCCTCATCCACTGATAGGTTATCAATCCCGTTCGTGCCATCACCTAATGCTGTTGCTGACCCTATCCCCTCCTCCTCAATCCCGGCGATAAATTTCGCCCGATCCTGCACTCCACAGGCCGCCAGCAGCAGCTGCCCGAGAATCTGGGCAGCTCGAAACTGCGCCGTGTCCAGCACTCCTGCCTCTTCCGCCTCGCTCCACGCCTGCCCAGCAGCTTTTTTCGAAGTGCCCTTAAACGGGGGCAGGGGAACCCGGAGGAAGAGCGCGAGCAGCACGAGAAGCAGGCTGCTGGAACTGAAATGATTGGTAACTGCCACAACTGCTGCCATTTCCACACTTAGATCCAAAACCGCGTCGAGAATCGCCAGTGCCAGTTCACTCAACCCCGCCCCGAAATCCTCCTCCCCTTCTGGTGCCACCAACCCCTCTTCCACTCCCGTTCCTGGTATGGTGATCGATCTCCATAGCTGCCGTGCCAAAACGGGCAGCAAAGACGACCCCAGCAGCTGCTCTCGGCTCGTAGGGGCACCTGAAACAATCTGCGCGATGCCCACGACCAGCCGCCGGGCAGTTGGAAGTGTATCCGGGGCAGCCGCCAAAATCTCCGCAAGGAGGAGATAGTCTATGTGAGCCAGCATGCCCCTCTTACCGTCCTCTACCGCATACCTAATGCACTCCGCCAGGGCTTTAAGTACCATCAGAAACCCGGCGACAGTGGGAGGCTGTGAGGCAAAGGCAGCTGCTGAGGTGGTGACGATGCTACTAGGAGATGGAGGAGTGATGAGGGTGGAGGAAGAGGAGGATTGGGAGGAGATGATGGGGAGAGAGGAGCGGAGATAGTCCTGAAGAGCCATGAGAAACGCACGGCCGTCGGGCAGGTCGAAGTTTTCCCAGCTGCCCGCAGCGTACCCCCGGACGAAGATGCCTGAAATAACCATTTCGTCCTTGAGGCAGTCGTACCTGACAAACACGAGAATAGCGAGGAGAGCAGTAAGGAACGAGAAAAGCAAAGGAGATGGGAAAGAAAGAACGAGAGCCGCAACGAGAGAAACGAAAGAGTCTGGGGAAGAAGAGGGAGGAGACAATGGAAACAAGGGAGATAAGAGTAAGAGGGGGATCAGATGAGAAGGTGAACTTTTGAGGCGCCACCTCGTCTTCCTCCTCCGCTCCTCCCCCCATTTCTCCAGCATCCCCCGCCCGCACCAGATTGAATCTCCTAAACAGCGCCCCTCCTAAACAGCGCCCCTCCTAAACAGCACCTCCACCGTCCTCCGCAGCTCCTCCCTCACAGTTGTGTTCGCAGCATCTCCTACTCTCACACTCCACATCCTATCAACGCCCATAATACCACCTCACACTGCCTGATACCGCCTGGTACCGCCTGGTACCCACTGATACCGCCCATTCTCACCTGAACGAGCGCAGCCACGCCACTTCATCTTCCTCCTCCGTTCCTCCTCCTCCCCCTCCTCCAGCCTGCGCCAGGTTAAACCTCTTAATCCGCGCCTCCACCTTCCCCCTAAGCTCCTCCCTCACCGCCGCATTCCAAATCGCGGTCGGCATCTCGCCGTCGGCTCCCACCAACGCAACAAGCTTCGCCGCCCCAGCATCGGGATTCTTGAGAGCATCCAGCAGACCCCAGGGGATGACGTATGAGAGCAGGCCGCCCTGCTCCTGCTCCTGCTGCTGCTGCTCCAACTGCTGCATGTGCAGCAGAGAGCCTCGGGGGCTAGGTTCGCCATCAGGCGGGAGTGCTTGCTCAAGAGTGATTGCGAGCGTTCGCAGCACCTCTGCTGCCACCTGCTGTAGCGCTTTCGCCCTGAAGTTGGGCTCTTGACCTGCTTGGACAAGGAAAACATGTCGAAGGGCAGCAGGAAGGGAAGGAGGACACACTCAGGAGGTAATTGGGAGGGGGCAGAGGACTGCTGCTGCTCCAACTGCTGCATGTGCAGCAGAGAGCCTCGGGGGCTAGGTTCGCCATCAGGCGGGAGTGCTTGCTCAAGAGTGATTGCGAGCGTTCGCAGCACCTCTGCTGCCACCTGCTGTAATGCTTTCGCTCCGAAGTTGGGTTCTTGACCTGCTTGGGCAAGACAAAGTGGGAAGCAGGAAGGATTATCACACGTAATAGCACTCAAGATTTGAAACATTGCAGGTGCCTTAAGCTGGAATCGGTATGGCGCAATGGCTTGGCCTGTTCACCCTGACATACCAATGCACCCTTGGTATGGCGCAATGGCTTGGCCTGTTCACCCTGACATACCAATGCACCCTTGGTATGGCGCAATGGCTTGGCCTACCTGTTTCGTTGCGACGCCGCTCATCCTCGAGGGTTGACTCAGATGGAACGGCGAGGAGTTTTGAGTCGCCTCCATGACCTGCATGACTTGACTCTCTTGTTTCACACTGGCCTGCCTACCTGTTTCATTGCGGCGCCGCTCATCCTCGAGGGTTGACTCTGATGGAACAGCGAGGAGCAGCAGCGGCAGATGAAGGGCCTGGCCATAGGAAGAAGCGCACAGGCCAAGGGGGGAAGGAAGGCGAGGGAGGGACGGGGAGGGATTTTTTAGGCACCTAAATTATCGACTCAATACACGAGCAGCAGGAGGGGCACATAAAGGGCCTGCTCATTGGAAGAGGGGTGCGGGACGAGGGGGGAAGAAAGGGAGGGGGGTGGAAGGGAGAGAAATAACGACTGGCGTTGTCGCACACACAAACAAATCCACCGAATACACCGAATACACCAAATACACCGAATACACCGAATACACCGAATACACCAAATACACCAAATACACCAAATACACCAAATACACCGAATACACCAAATACACCGAATACACCGAATACACCGAATACACCAAATACACCAAATACACCGAATACACCAAATACACCAAATACACCGAATACACCGGATACACCAAATACACCAAATACACCGGATATACATACTCACTCACACGCATGCTTCACCCGCCTGGTTGATCTGCCAGTAGCACATGTCCTGGTCCCCAACGAAGTGGTTGAGGCAGTCAAGAGCAGCAAAGGCCAGCGAGCACCCACTGCCTTTCAGACACCTCAAAGGGGCACACACCAAAAGCATGTATGCACCCGATCCCCACCTGGTTGATCAACCAGTAGCACATGTCTCAGTCACCAGCGAAGTGGTTGAGGCAGTTCAGAGACGCAAAGGCCAGAGAGCACGGCACGCCATCCACTTGTGAGACACCTCAAAACCACATGCATACTCAAAAGCACAAATATGCTCGCCCCACCTGGTTGATCAGCCGGTAGCACATGTCCCGGTCCCCAGCGAAGTGGTTAAGGCAGTCGAGAGCAGCAAAGGCCAGCGAGCAGGGCACCCCATCCGCGCTGCTCTCCCCTGCAGCAGAGCACAGCGCCCACCAGAAGCCCTTGCGCCACCGCACGTCGTCCCTCAGCTGCTTTCGTCCCTCCCTGTGGTCAAGAGAGGTTGTGAGGGGTCCAGAGGGGTTAAAATGGATGTGCGAATAAACGGAGTGAAGGAGGTTGCTGCCCCAGCTGCTCTCCCCGGCAGCGAACCACAGCGCCCACCAGAATCCCTTGTGCCACCGCATGTCGTCCCTCGCCTGCTTGCGCCCCTCCCTGTAATGGTTATGAGAGGTTATGGTGGTTAATGGGGGGTTTTGGGGGGATGCAAAGGTCACGATGAGCAAACCGCCCACCAGAAGCCCTTGTGCCACCGCACAGCATCACTCAGCTGCTTTTGAGGCGCCTCAAAAGTCGTCACCGCACAGCATCACTCAGCTGCTTTTGAGGCGCCTCAAAAGGCATCACCGCACAGCATCACTCAGCTGCTTTTGAGGCGCCTCAAAAGGCGTCATCGCACAGCATCACTCAGCTGCTTTTGAGGCGCCTCAAAAGGCGTCACCGCACAGCATCACTCAGCTGCTTTTGAGGCGCCTCAAAAGGCGTCATCGCACAGCATCACTCAGCTGCTTTTGAGGCGCCTCAAAAGGCATCACCGCACAGCATCACTCAGCTGCTTTTGAGGCGCCTCAAAAGGCGTCACCGCACAGCATCACTCAGCTGCTTTTGAGGCGCCTCAAAAGGCGTCACCGCACATCATCACTCAGCTGCTTTCGCCCCTCTTTGTAGTTGTGATGGTTGTGGGAGGGAGATGACAGGAGGTTACAAAGGTGCATTGTGAGTTGCATATGTGTGACTCGAAAGTCAAGACTCGCTTGGATGAGGCCGCAAGAGACAGAAGTCACTTAGACGAGGCGGCGCCGACGAGGATGGAGAGGGCGCAGGAGAGGGCGGGATCGAGAGGGGACTTGGCAGGGGAGTCAGGGAAGCTTCCTCGTAGTTGCAATGCATAGTTGCATTGCATACACCTGCAGCACGTGGCTTGTGACCCACGGGACTCACTTGGACGAGGCGGCGAGCTCGAGGATAGAGAGGGCGCAGGAGAGGGCGGGCTCAAGAGGGGACTTGGCAGCAGGGGAGTAGTAGACGCTGACTTGTGGTTGCATACGTCTGCAGCACGAGCCTTGTGACACACAGGACTCACCTGGACGAGGCAGGAACAGACAGCACTCACTTGGAGGTGGCGGCAAGTTCGAGGATGGAGAGGGCGCAGGAGAGGGCGGGCTCGAGAGGGGACTTGGCAGCAGGGGAGTAGTAGACGCTGACTTGTGGTTGCATACGTCTGCAGCACGAGCCTTGTGACACACAGGACTCACCTGGACGAGGCAGGAACAGACAGCACTCACTTGGAGGTGGCGGCAAGTTCGAGGATGGAGAGGGCGCAGGAGAGGGCGGGCTCGAGAGGGGACTTGGCAGCAGGGGAGTAGTAGACGCTGACTTGTGGTTGCATACGTCTGCAGCACGAGCCTTGTGACACACAGGACTCACCTGGACGAGGCAGCAACAGACAGCACTCACTTGGAGGAGGCGGCGAGTTCGAGGATGGAGAGGGCGCAGGAGAGAGCGGGTTCGAGAGGGGACTTGGCAGGGGAGTCGGGGAAGCTTCCGTCCGACTTCACACGTGCTCCACAGGACAGCACGCTTAGGGCGAAGTTGATAGACGGCTGAGATACGTCCGCGTCCCTGTGGAGGAAGGGAGAAAGGGAGGGAGGGAGGGAGGGAGGGAGGGAGGGAGGGAGGGAGGGAGGGAGGGAGGGAGGGAGGGAGGGAGGGAGGGAGGGAGGGAGGGAGGGAGGGAGGGAGGGAGGGAGGGAGGGGGGGAGGGAGGGAGGGAGGGAGGGAGGGAGGGAGGGAGGGAGGGAGGGAGGGAGGGAGGGAGGGAGGGAGGGAGGGAGGGAGGGAGGAGGGAAGGTAACGGAGAAGGGATGGGAAGAAAGGGAAGGATGAGGAGATTACAACATTAGGTGAGTAAATCTGTACGCTGATTAATTAAGAGGGTGGGCAAAATACTTTTCCCTGCAATAACACTTAACGCACTTGTCTCCAGTGGAAATTCAGGATTGTAGCAATATGCTGCAATCGTTGGAAAGCCATCTGAAAGCCTCATAAATCCAAGGAAACATTTAGTCAAGACCCCTGACTCACTTGTCTCTGGTAGCCGCAATTCCCCGGAGGATCTTAGCAGCATGCTGCAGGATATCAGCCATTTGAGGCGGGCAGTCGTCCCTCTGAGAGACGCTTGGGTCGAATAAGAACCTTGATGCACAAAACCCTGACTCCTAAGACCCTGACTCACTTGTCTCTGGTAGCCGCAATCCCCCGGAGGATCTTAGCAGCATGCTGCAGGATATCGGCCATCTGAGGGGGGCAGTCGTCCCTCTGAGCGATGCACACACGCAGCGCTGGGGTCGCCATGTCGATCACCACGCTCTCTGCCTCTGCTCCCAGAGGGATCTGTGGGTACCGGTCTAGAATCACTGCCTGGGAGGGGGAAAGAAAAGGGGGAGGCGAGGGGTTGGGGAGAGAGGAAGGTAGGGAGGGGGCAGGGAGGGAAAGCGGGAGATGATTGAAGAGGAAGAATGAGGCAAGAAGCGTTTGAGAAGTCATCCTTCAGAGCGATGCACACACGCAGCGCTGGGGTCGCCATGTCGATCACTACACTCTCCGCCTCTACACAAGGAACCGCGGATAGCAGTCCAGAATCACTGCCTGGGAGGGTGTGGAGAACGGGATGGAGGGAGGGATAGATGCAGGTTTGGAATGTCTGCCTGGGGAACAAGGAAACAGACAGAGGCAAGGAGAATGCAAGAAACGAGCAACTGAAAGGTGGAAATGGTGTAGAGCCCTTTATCATGGAGTTCGAGGGCCACCTGTGGAATATCCACAACCTAGGAGACTTTGAGTCGACTCAAAAGTCACCTCTTTATCATGGAGTTTGACGGCCACCTGTGGAATATCACAACCTAGGAGGCAGAGGGGCAGAGGCACAGCAGGGCAGCAGATGCGATACCACCCGGGATTCTGATGCAAAGGAACTCCCCCTTTCGATGACAAAACGTCTGATGCTGCTTCCCCCTGATCGCACCTCATGCCTCACCTTGCTAACACCCTGACGCCCCACTTCTTGGCACCTCATGCCTCACCTGCTAACACCCTGATGCGACACCTGACGTCTCTGTTTTTAGGACCTGACGCCTCACCTGACGTCTCTGTTTATAGGACCTGACGCCTCACCTGACGTCTCTGTTTATAGGACCTGACGCCTCACCTGCGCCTTGAGCAGCAGCACGAGCCGCGGGGCTTCCTGGCGCCACGTCACTGCACCACCGCCCCCTGCTGACGTGGCTTGCAGAATGCGCTCGTACTCCTGGGGGGAGGGGAGAAGGGGGACAAATGAAAGGGGGATGGGGGAAGGGGAGATGGGGGAGGGGAGATGGGGAGATGGAAAGAGGGAAGAGGTGTGAGAAGGACAACATTCTCTGCCAAACATGTCACTGCACCACTGCCCCCTGCTGAGGTGGCCTGCGGAATGGGCTCGTACTCCTGGGGAGGGGAGAGCTTACATAATGGGGATGGGTGAAGGGGATATAGGGAAGAGGAGATTTATGGGGCACAGAGGTGAGAGGGAATACAGATTCAGCCACACCACCGCACTGCCCCCTGCTGAGGTGCATGTGGAATGCGCCCATACTCTTAAGCAGAGAGGCAGGTGGGACAGGGAGTGGGGGGGGAATGTGAGGGAATGCAGTTGCTGTTATATCACTGCACCGTTAGACACGTCATTCCATTAGTCAACTCAAGGACTACCAGCCCTCAACTTGGATTCATCACTCATAGCACCCTCACGCCACTCACCCTGAGCACGCCACTCACCCTGAGCACGCCACTCACCCTGAGCACGCCACTCACCATCAGCACGCCACTCACCCTCAGCACTCCACTCACCCGCAGCACGCCACTCACCCTCAGCACTCCACTCACCCGCAGCACGCTGTGGTGGAAGGACGTGGAGTCAAACACTTGGTGCGCCGGGAACCTCTCAGCGTCCAGCACGTTGTGTAGATACACCGGCGCCACGAAGATGGTGCCTGGGATGGAAGGGATGGAAGGAAGAAGCATACACACAGAGCAGGCAGAGGAAACATGGACAGTGGAGCTTCTCAGGGTGATGGAAGCACGGTCAAGGGAACATCTCCGCGTCCAGCACGTTGTGCAGGTACACCAGTGCCACAAAGACGGTGCCTGCCTCTCAGGGCGCCGAGAGCACTTCAAGAGGCACCTCTCCGCGTCCAGCACGTTGTGCAGGTACAGCAGCACAACTGGGATGGTAGGCACCGGCGCAACAAAGACGGTGCCTGCGAAGGGAGAAAAGAAGGCAGAGAGGATGGGAGAGAGGAAGGTGGAAGAAGGAAACATGTTGTCAATTGACCGTCTCCGAGTGCTGAAATCACACTCAAGGAAACCTCTCCGCGTGCAGCACATTGTGCAGGTACACCAGCACAACTGGGATGGTAGAAGAGGTGACTTTTGAGTCGACTCAATGAAGGACCATTCAGGAAACCTCTCCGCGTGCAGCACATTGTGCAGGTACACCACACAAGCACAACGAAGATGTGGTTTTTCTCATAAGGTAGAGACAGATGCAGAGCGCAGGTGGTCACATCGTGCTGAAAGGAACTTCCACTCAACATGGCAGAACAATGCTTCCAACGCAACCTCTCACACACACACGGGATGGCTTGGGCTCATATACATACTCCTGCCAGCATGGGGTTCACTCAACAAAGCGTTTCATCTCATTCAACTGCCACACCACATCATATCACCGTTCAGGCGTTTCGTCTCGAAAGCAAACCGTTTCATCTAACCATCAGAGCGCCTCAACACTCACCTGCGAGCTCAGGATATACGAGTGGTGGCTTGGGCTCCTACACATACACCGCGTGGGTTTCCCCTCTCCATGCCTGCACTTATGGCTGCAGGTATTTTTTTAGCCGACTCAGACACCAGACCGTCTCAAAGCTCACCTGCAAGCTCAGGATAGACGAGCGGCAGCTTGGGCCCGTACACATAGACCGCGTGAGGGTCCCCTGCCCACTTTCTGAGGCGCCTGCCCACTTTCTGAGGCGCGTCTTAAGCCATCAGGGCGTCTCAAAGCTCACCTGCGAGTTCAGGATACACGAGCGGTGGCTTGGGCTCGTACACATAGACAGCGTGAGGGTCCCCCGCCCGTGCCTGCACGTATGGCTGCAAGTCCGCTTCCAGGAAGCATCGCAGGCGCTCTTTCATGTCTTCGTTCCACACAATCTCGGGCGTGTCTATGTCCTCCGTCTCCAGGTTGGATAGGAACAGCTCCGCGCCCTGAGGTGAGATGAATACATGGGAATACATGTGATGGGACAGGCATAAGGGGGTGAGTTGGTAGTGGAGGGAGGGGTCCACGCACACAATCTCGGGCGTGTCTATGTCCTCCGTGTCTAGATTGGATAGGAACAGCTCTGCGCCCTGGGGTGACTGGGGCGGGTCTGGATGGGACAGGCATTAGTAGGATTAGTAGAATTAGTTCTATAGATCGTTTGTAAACTCTTAGTTCTAATTTCACCTGAGGTGAGTGGGGCGGGTATGGATGGGACAGGCATTAGTAGGTCAGTTGGTAGAGGAGGGAGGGAGGGGCCTACACACACACAATCTCCGGCGTGTCTATGTCCTCTGTTTCTAAATTGGACAGAAGCAGCTTTTCTCCCTGAGGTGAGGTGAATACATAGGAGAGGCATTCGTAGTGGAGGGAAGGGGCGCACACTCACTACCTCTGAGTCGACTCAAAAGCATTCGTAGTGGAGGGAAGGGGCGCACACTCACTACCTCTGAGTCGACTCAAAAGCATTCGTAGTGGAGGGAAGGGGCGCACACTCACTACCTCTGAAGCGGGAAGGAAGAAGCTGTGGGCATATTTTAACCGCACTCACAATATGCCTCTCTCCCCACACCTAACACAGCGGCCTCGAACCTTTTAACAAAAGAGCTTCGGGACTAGCCCAGCAGGGAGGCTGAAGCTGTAGCATGCCCTAAGAATCCTCATCTCACAAAGCGCATCCCTCACCGTGCGCTGCAGCAGCAAGCCCCGCACCTCTTGAATGAGCTCCGGGACGAGCCCAGCAGGGAGGTACGGGAAGAGAATGCTTTGAGCATGATGTAGGAATGATCTCACCAAACCCAGCCAGCAAGCAGCAAGCAGCCTCGTACACACCTCTTGAATGAGCTTCGAGACGAGCCCAGCAGGGAGGTATAGCCGGAGAATGCTCTCGTGCCACGGCAGATGCTCCACCACCACTAGCCCCTTCACTGGCGCATGCTCTAAGGCGGATGGGTCCTGTGAGAGGGAAAGAACGAGGAGGAGCATGAAGAATAGGACAGGCATAGCTGAGAATGCTCTCATGCCATGGCAGATGCTCCACCACCACCAGGACCTTCACTGGCGCGTGCTCCAACGCGGATGGGTCCTGCAAAAACAAAAAAGTGAGGGTGGGAACGAGGAGGAGGAGCATGGAGGACAGTATAGGACCATTTGAGGACCAGTTGAGGACCAGTTGAGGATGCTCTCGTGCCACGGCAGATGCCTTACCACCACCAGGCCCTTCACAGGCACGTGCTCTAAGGCCGATGGTTCCTGTGAGGGTGAGAGGGACAGAAAGAGAGCGAGGAATGGCATAAGGAATGTGTTAGGACCACTTCAGAACGATCTCATGCCACAACAGATGCCATGGCAACTGGTCTTGTGACATAGATTTGCTGCTCGCTGAGAATTATGTCACAAGACCAATGTGTAAGGACCACTTGAGAATGCTGTCATGCCACTGCAGATGCTCCACCACCACCAGCCCCTTCACTGGCGCATGCTCTAAAGCGGATGGGTCCTGTCAGGGCAAGGGAGAGGGGCTGAGATCGAACAAGAGGAGGGGCATGGATAGGAAGACGGGATCAGATCAGATTGATACGAAATACGGGTGCAGTCATAGCGAGGGGTGCAGTCATAGCGAGTCACGATTGATGTTGTTGTAACACGGAGAAAAACAGGCCCCCAGACCCTAGATTGCAGATCCCCCCAACCCTAAGAACCAACCCCTAAATCTTTAAAACCAGCATCCAGCCCTAAAAAACAGCCCCTGAAACCTATAAAGATACCCTGAACCTGCCTGCCGGAGGTGCGTGCGAGCGAGGAACTTGAGGATGCACGTGCGCTCGTCGTGGCTGATGTCCCCCGCCGCCACCTTCCACAGCAGCATGGGAGGAGGCACCCAGGCCAGCTGCTGGCTAACCCCTGCCATAACCCCAAAACCCAAAGAACCAAACCCTGCCATCTGGCCCAAACAATAAACCCTTGGACATGCCTGCAGGAGGTGCGTTCGCACGAGGAACTGGAGGATGCGGGTGTTGTCGTTGTGGTTGATGCCGCCCGCCTGCCACCACCTTCCACAGCAGCAACCTTGCTAACCTTAGCTAAACTTAAACCCTCTAAACCTCAAACCTACAACCACAACGTAGACCTGCCTGCAGGAGGTGTGTGCGGGCAAGGAATTTGAGGATGCGGGTGCGGTCGTCGTGGCTGATGTCTCCTGCCACCACCTTCCACAGCAGCATGGGGAAGCACCCAAAGCGGCATAGCTCACTCGCCGCCTGCTTGTTGCCGCGGCACATGATGGACAGCACCTCGAGAATCCTGGTGGCAGGGGGGAGGTGTTGGGGGGAAACGTTCAGAATACTTAAGGAGACGAGACGGCGTCTTTGGAAGAGGCGCAGCTCATTCGACGCCTGCTTGTTTCCCCGGCACAGGATGGACAGCACCTCGAGAATACTGGTTGTGAGGTGAGATGGGGAAGGGTAAGGGGGAAAAGTTTCAGAGCAACAGGAGGGATGGCACTTTCAAAGTGTGCAGCTCACTGGCCGCCTGCTTGCTGCAGCGGCACAGTATGGACAGCACCTCAGGAATCCTGGTGGGAGTAATCTAGCAACGGTAACAAGTCTTTACCAAGGGCAGTCTCTTTAAAGCGAGGCAGAGGATTGGCTGCCTGCTTCACGCCGTGGCACAGAATGGACCAATGTTTGAGCTGACTCAAATTTTGGCCTACTGCATGCGGTTTTCATATTGAAGAAGCTCATGGCCACCTGCTTGATGTTGCTGTGACACAGAATGGACAGCACCTTCAGATCCCGGTTGCAGTTTTGTAGAAACTGCATGAATTCGGAATTCTCCAATGAGCCAGCTTCAGCTGGCTGATGCTACAAAACGGAATTCCCCGGGGGCTAAGTGAAACGGCTCCTTAGTGTGTCGTTCTGACCTCCTGAAGGTGGGGAGTGTTGGCTATGTGAAACGGTTAGCTAGTGTCATTCTCACCTCCTGAAGGTGGGGGATTTTTTAAAGAAAAGTACTAATATTAATAATAATAATTATTATTATTATTATTATCTCAAAACCCGCTCTCGAGGGGCTAGGAAAAACGGCTCGTTAGAGTCATTTTCACTCACCTCCTGAAGGTGGGGGACTTGGCCCGCAGCAGGAGCTGCACGAGGCTGCACAACAGCTCCGGCCGAGCCAGGTCCTCCAGAGGAAGGGGCGGTGGGTACCTCTCCAAGCCTCCCGGCACCTCAGTGACACTGCAGAGGAGGGAAGGGAGTGGGTGAAGGGGGGAGTGGGTGAAGGGGGGAGAGAGACAAGGAACAGGAAGGACGTACATTAAGCCAGAGGCTGGGGGTACAGCTTAGGCTTCCCAGCACATCAATAACACTGCAGAGGAGGGGGAGGGAAGGGCATAGTCGTGGGCAAGGGGTCGTGTGAGTCAGCTGAAAAAGACCAACATCGCTCTCTCTCTACAACGGCCATCGGTAGTCGCACGTGACATGCCACTTTGTGTGCTAGGCTAGATATGAGTCCACTCGAGAATGCACACAGAGCAAAGGCACTCACTCCAGGACTGTTTCCAGCAGCTCCAGCGCCATCCCCAGCTGCAGCTTCTCATCCTGCCACTTGATCACTGAACCTAACGCTCATCACACTCACATTAAGTCCCACACCAACTCACTGCCCACCGTCCTCACTCTAGAACGGTTTCCAGCAGTCTAAGTGCCATTCCCAGCTGCAGCTTCTCATCCTGCCACTTGATCACTGAACCTAACGCTCATCACACTCACATTAAGTCCCACACCAACTCACTGCCCACCGTCCTCACTCTAGAACGGTCTCCAGCAGTCTAAGTGCCACCCCCAGCTGCAGCTTCTCCGGTGCGTTCTCATCCTGCCACTTGATTGCATCCCTAGAGTCCACGCTGCCCATCTTGGCAACTCACAAGAGCAGCTCTGAGAACTCTACAAGAGCAACTCACTCTAGGACGGTCTGAAGCAGTCCCAGCGCCATGCTCAGCCGGTCCCTGGATTGGAGACATTACAAGAACTCAAAGAGGAGAACCACTCACTCTAATACAGTCTCCAGCACCTCTAGCGCCATTCCCAGCTGTAGCTTCTCGGGCACGCTCTCATCCTGCCACTTGATCGCATCCCTCGCCTCCACACTTTCCCCGTGATGAACAGTGCTCTCCCCTCCACCTTTTCCATCGCACTCACTCTATGATAACCGCGTCGTCCGCATTCCCAGCTAAATTTGAGTCCATCCAATAATTCCCAAATGGGGGGGGGGAAATAAGACTCACTCTAGGACAGTTTCCAGCAGTTCAAGAGCCATCCCCAGCTGTAGCTTCTCCGGCACACTCTCATCCTGCCACTTGATCGCATCCCTCGCCTCCACGCTCCCCCCGTGATGAACAGTGCTCGCGCCGCCCTCCTTCGCCTGCCGCCCAGACGGCACGCGCGCCATCCGCACCTCGCCATCCGCTCCCACCACCGGCACCACCTCGATCGCCCCTCGGTCTTTCACACTCGGCGCATCACACTCAAACAGAGTCTCGTCCTTGCAGCACTGGGGGGTGGGGGGTAGAGAGAAGTGGGGGAGACGGAGGGGAAAAAAGAGGCTCAGGCATCTACACCTCGCCGTCCGCCCCCACCACCAACACCACCTCAATCGCCCTCAATCCTTCACACTCGGTGAGCAGCATTCAGAAAGAATCTCGTCCTTGCAGCGCTGGAGTGGGGGGGAAGAGGGCGGGGAGAAAGGGGGAGGAGAAGGGAGGGGTTGAGGCATACGCACCTCACGATCTGCTGCACAACCGGCACCAGTTTGATCACCCCTCGGCCCATCCCGGTTGACCATGAGGGGCAGGATGACGAGCACGCCTCCTGCCTTAACGAACCAAGACACAGACAAATTGGTTGTGCCTCACTCCCTACCCTTCCTGCTCTCCATCCTCCTACCCTTCCTCCACTCCCTGCCCCCCTCCCCTCTGCTCCCACCCACCAGCCAAAGCATCCACCTTAAAGACAGAGTTGACCATGAGCGGAAGGATGATGGACATACCTCCCTCCCCACATTCACAGACCAAGGTATGGCACACCTGGCCCTGTCCCACTCCCGCCCGTCCTTCCCCTCCTTTAATGCACCTACTCTCCACCAGTCCACACCATCCACCTTGGCGAGCGAGTTGACCATGAGAGGCAGGATGATAGGTATGCCTCCCGCCTTCAAGCCCTACCACACTCATATCCCATCCATTCTCCCTTCCCCGTTTCCCACCCTCTGCAACCCACCTTGGCGAGCGAGTTGACCATGAGGGGCAGGATGATGGACATGCCTCCCGCCTTCACGAACCGGGAGACGGCGGGGCGACCAGCCCTCTCGAGAATGATGCGCAGCAGCAGCAGCGACTTGAATGCAAACACCACGTGGTCGTTGTCTATGGCCTCACGCAGCATCGCCACAAAGAGCTGAGGGTCCAATTGGTAGGAAGAAAGGCATGCAAGGGGAACAGATAGGGCTCAGAACGAGCAGCAGCAGCAGCAGCGACTTGAAGGCGAACACCACGTGGTCGTTGTCTATGGCCTCCCTCAACATCGCCACAAAGAGCTGGTGGACAGGAGGAGGGAGAAAGATACGATAGGGAGGAAAACGGGATTCAGGGTGTTCAGGGTGAGCAGCAGCAGCAGCAGCAGCAGCAGCAGCGACTTGAAGGCAAACACTACATGGTTGTTGTCGATCGCCTCTCATAAAGTCGCCACAAAGAGCTGGTGGAGAGAGGGGGCGACAGGAGATTGTAAGGGGGGCAGGGGGTTCAGAAGAAGCAGCAGCGACTTCAATGCTGCATTATGTGATGCAGCAGCGACTTAAATGCTGCATTATGTGATGCAGCAGCGACATAAATGCTGCATTATGTGAAGCAGCAGCGACTTCAATGCAAACACCACCCTGTAGTTCTGTTACCAATGGCCTCCCTTCGCATGTGTTTTGAGTCGACTCAAAACAGTTCTGTTACCAATGGCCTCCCTTCGCATCGCCACAAAGAGCTGCGGGTTTGTGGGGGGAGGAAGACATTCATACAAGGGGAAAAAGGGGGTTCAAAACGAGCAGCAGGAGCAGCAGCTGCATTCACTCACAACCCTTACCTTTCTACCCGCTCTCAACAAAAACCCCCGCCACGCATCTCCACGACATGCAAGTTCTCCAGCACGCCTCGGATCTCCCCCTCATGCCGCTCATACATCCACGTGAGGGCGACCACTCCAACCCCACCACCCCTAACCCCAAACCCCTCTCCCTCTGCTACTCATCTCTCTTCCACTCCACTCACCTCCACCACGTGCAAGTTCTCCACCACGCCGCGAAGCTCCCCCTCATGCCGCTCGTACATCCACGTCAGCGCATCTACCGCCAGACGCGGCTCGATCTCGGGCAGCTCGCACGTGCCGTAGAGCGGCGTGAAGCAGAGCAGCAGCGCCTGCAGCGTGGCGGTGAAGAGAGCTGCTGGGTCGTCCAGCTTCCAGTGGGCCGCTAGAGCCGGGGAGGAGTCGTCAGAGGGCTGTAACAGGACCTCTAGGTGAACCCCCTCCACTATGGTCTTGCACACGTCTGGGGAAATAGGAAGTGAGGGGGGAAGGAGAAAGGGTAGCGGAAATGAGGAGGTTGAGGCGAAGGGTCATCGAGTCCAGCTTCCAGTGGGCCGCTAGAGCAGGAGAGGAGTCGTCAGAGGGCTGTAGAAGCACCTCTAGATGCACCCCCTCCACTATGGCCTTGCACACGTCTGGGGAACCAGGAAGGGAAGAGGAGGAAAGGGAGAAGGAGGGTAGCAGGAAAGAGGAGGTTGAGATGAAGAGGGTCGTCCAGCTTCCAGTGGGCGGCTAGAGCCGGGGTGAGTAGTCGTCAGATGCCTGGAGGAGGAGCACCTCAAGATGCACCCGCTATATTGGTGCGACTTTTGAGAATTCTCAAAAGTCGCACCTCAAGATGCACTCCTGCCCTGCCATTATCGTTACTGGCAGGGGTGTAGCAGCACTTGCAGTCGTCGGTGCTGAAGTGAACATCCTTGCCTCCTCCAATGCTCCTCTGGAGACTACACCTTCCACTCCACACGAACTCACGCACCATTGTCGTTACTGGCAGGGGTGCAGCAGCACTCGCAGTCGTCCGTGTTGAAGGGAACGTGAATGCCCTTGCAAGTTGCCACATCTCTAGCCTGCCAATAGTTCCCCCCAGCCCCATCATCCCACCACGCACTCACGCACCATTGTCGTTACTGGCAGGGGTGCAGCAGCACTTGCAGTCGTCAGTGTTAAAGTGAATGCCCTTGCCTCCTCTCCTTTGCCTGTAGGGTCCCTGACCTGTCTAGCCACTCGCCGTCATCCCACCCACCGCTCACTCACTCACCATTATCATTATTAGCAGGGGTGTAGCAGCACTCGCAGTCATCTGTGTTGAAGTGAATATCTTGCCTCATCTCGTTTGCCTCTAGTTCCCCACCCCATCATCCCACCACTCACTCACTCACCGTTATCGTTACTGGCAGGGGTGTAGCAGCACTCGCAGTCGTCTGTGTTGAAGTGAATGTCCTTGCCGCCCCCCGTCCGCCCCAGGGCTGCATCAAACGCCTCCACCTGCTCCTTCAGGTACTGCCAGGGCGAGCATGCACAAGTGTGTGTGATACATGTGTTTGAGATGCCATGCGTGCAGGTGTGCATGTGTTTGAGATGCCATGCGTGCAGGTGTGCATGTGTGTGCCTCTGTTCGCCTCCCGTCCACCCCAAGGTTGCAAACGCCTCCACCTGCTCCTTGAGGTACTGCCAGGGCGGAAACGCATAGGTGGGTGGGTACAGTGTCATGTCATGTGCGTGAGTTAGTATGCATGCATGCAAACACATGCACCACGCCAGCCAGCAGGGGCATGGTGATGCTCCTCTCCTTCTCCTCAGCATGGACGCATTACCCATGCATGCCGTGCGCACCTACCTTCAGCACTGAGCCCTTCAGCACTTGAACCCATTCCCACTCACCGCATGTAATGTAACTCGTGCCTCTTGGCATCGTTCCACACCAGCACAGGTGTCGTGATGCTCCTCCTACTCCTCCTCCTCAGCAAGAAAGCGTGGACTATGCGTGGTACATACATACAGCAATCAGCCCTTCACCAGCTCAATATTCAGCCCTCCCCACTCACCGCATGAAGCTCATGTCTCTTGGCATCATTCCACACCAGCACGGGGGTCGTGATGCTTTTCCGCCTCAGCATGAATGCAGCGCCCGTGCATGGTACATTCAGTACATTCATAAATCAGCAAATCACCAGTTCAACCTTCCCCACTCACCGCGTGCAGCTCGTGCCTCTTGGCGTCGTTCCACACCAGCACCGGCGTTGTGATGCTTCTCCGCCTCAGCATCTCCAGCGCCTCCTTCCACACCCCCAGCGCCACCACACCCCCCAGCCCTCCACTCCCACCCCCCATCCCCACCGCTCCCCCACTGCCTTCTCCCGCAGCAGTCCCGCTTCCCGGTGCTGTGCCGGTGGTTGTGCTGGCTGTGGCTGCTGCTGCTGCCGCTGCTGCCACTGCTGCTGCGACTTTGAGCCCGGATGCAAGGGTAGAGCTTGCGCCGCCTGCTGCGGCAGCTTTGGCAGCCTCCTGTTGGGTTGGGACGAGAGGGAAACAAATAGGAAAAAGGTTTGAGAAGTAAATTGAAGCAATGACCTCTTGCCATTGCTGCTGCTGATGCTGCTGCTGCTGCCACTGCTGCTGCCACTGCTGCTGCCACTTAGAGGCCGGAAGCTAGGGTAGAGCTAGCGCCGCCTGCTGCTGCGGTTTTGGCTGCCTCCTGTTGGGTTGGGCCGACATGGCAATCGCAAACATATAAGAAATAATCAGTATCAAAAAATTAGTATCGAAGTAAAAGTGAGGTGGAGCCAGCACACCCTGCTGCTGCTGCTGCTGCTGCTGCTGCTGCTGCTGCTGCTGCTGCTGCTGCTGCCTTGGCCTGCTCCCGTTGGGTTGGTCGAGGTGGCACTCCAACACACGGGAACAATTTGACTTCTACAGCCAAAATTCCCCATCATGCTAAAATTCACTCGAGTCGACTTCTGAAAAGAACTTCACCACACTGAACCTAGATCTAAACCTTCTCATTCGTCGTTCTAGAACACGACCTGAAGCTTCAAACCTCGAAACATTCTACTCAACTTACAGTCCCTCTCCCCGGTCGAGCTTACCTCAAGCTCAGCCTTTCTCGCAGCTTCTGTCTTGTCTTTCAGAACAAAAAAGAAACCCTGCAGCAAGAGTTCAAAATGATGAGGACGGAGGGAGGGAACAGATTAGAGTGTGAAAGACCAACGCTAGTTACACTGAAGCTCAGTAGCGAAGCATCCCGTGTATCCCCCAAGTAGAAAGAAATACACTGGCCTGTGTCGATCTCGGCATAAGGAAACAGCATCTGCGCACTGACTGACACTCATAATGGCTTTGTAGTATCACTCAGTGCTGTCCAGCCATGACGCATGACGCATGAGGCACACCTTGGGAAGCAGGTTCGCCAGCAGTTGCTGTGTTTTGGCGTCGCTCTCAGCAATGAGGAGCAGCAGTTCCGCACTGACTGACACTAAGGCACGGTGCATGAAATAAAGCCCACCTTGGGGAGCAGGTTCGCCAGCAGGAGCTGCGTTTTGGCATCGCTCTCAGCAATGAGGAACAGCAGCTCTGCGCTGACGTCCCTCGCCCTCTCCAGCTTATTGAACAGTGCGTTCTTCAGCAGCAGCAGCACCACTGCACGGGATAGGATCACCGTCTGGACGGAATCGAGGGAGCGTGGTAAGGAAGAGAGAGCAGGACTGAGCATGGTTGTGTCACTTGACATTCTTCGCCCTCTCCAGCTTGTTGAACAGTGCGTTCTTCAGCAGCAGCACCACCACCGCACGGGATAGAATCACAGTCTTTGTAGAATGGAATGGAGGGAGTGTGGTAAATAATGTGGTGAGAGAGAGACTGAGCATGACAGTGCCCACTGACGTCCCTCGCCTTCTCCAGCTTGCTCAACAGCGCTTTTTTGGCAACAGCGCTTTTTTGGCAACAGCGCTTTTTTAGCAACAGCGGTACCACTGCGAGGAAAAGAAACACAATCACGGCCTGGATGGACAAGAAACACAATCACGGCCTGGATGGAAAAGCGAGAGAGTGCGGTTGGAATAAAGTGCAGAATAAAGTAAGAAGGGGGGGGGTGACAGAAAGGAAAGAAGCGACTTACAGGTGGCCAGATCCATTTGAGGCGCCATGAAAGGCACATGCAATGCGTGCACATGACACATGGCACACGAGACATGGCACGTAACAAAAAGCACATGACAGACACATGCCACATGGCACATGACACGTGGCACTGGCACAGCATGGTCCGCCCACAGGCAACAAATGAGACATGTTACCCTACCCTGAAGCGCGTGATGAAGGCAGGCGAGCAGCGTGTGAATATGGTCTTGATCAGCAGCGCATTGCTGGTGAGGGGAGAGCAGGGGCATTGAGGGAAATACCGAGAGCATGGAGACGGATACTTGGGGGAGAGGTTGCGGGTGGAGAAGGGGAGGGGAGACTGGGGTATGGGAGCCATATCGAATACAGAGAATGGTTGGAAGAAAGAAAGAAGAGGGCGAATGAAACTGAAATTGACGGAGAGAAAGGGGGGGCCTTGTGTGGGGTAGTGGAAGAGGGGGGGTGGGAGGGATATGGAGAGGGAGACGTATGGCAGAAGCAACAGAGAAGGTACACTCAGGATGCAGCATTCACAGTGTACAAAGAAACAAGCACATAGACGCGCACACACACACACAAGCACACGCATGCACACACACACACACACACACACACACACACACACACACACACACACCACTCACAACCACAATCAACACCCAAACCCCACCCACCCACACACACACACACACACACACACACACACACACACATACACACACACACACACACCCACCTGCAGTACATAATGTTGCTGCGGCTCCGGGAAATGGCACTGATGACGTCAGCAGCCACGAGCAGAGAGCTCTCAAGGGTCTGATGGGCGATGGGCGTGGGCAGATGGAATATGGGCAGATGGAATATGGGCAGATGGAATATGGGCAGATGGAATATGGGCAGGTAAATTGGTAGCTGAAATGCACATTCGTTGCTAATGTCGCTCTAGTGAATGTTCCGTGTGACATTCAGTCCTGGAGGCACCAAAATTATAGCCCACCTCACCTTCATCCACCCTTCACCTCCTTCCACGCCTCTATCTGAATCCGTGTTGAGAGATGTCTGAAGCTAACAGCAGCAGCAACAGCACGCCTCACCTCACCTCACCTCCATCCAGTGTTTCTCTGCCTCGGCATCAGACGAGGGCGGCAGGTGCAGCGCGAGAGTGAGGATCTCCAGAATGCCTTGCACCTGTGGGGCATAGGGGGGTGGGATGCAGGAGTGGTGGTAGAGGGAGGGAAGAAACGTCTCTCAGGCGCCTCGAAGTTGCTTCTGCTGAACGTGCTTCTGCTGAACGTGCTTCTGCTGAGCTTTGAGCTCCAGAATGCCTTGCACCTTGTGAATGGGAGTGGGAGGGAGGGGGTGCACACACCACACACATATGGGAAGGATTCAGAAGCTCATTGCAAATACTGACGTTTAAGAAGGAAACAAACAGGGTTTGTCAGCACGCACTGTGCACCACAAACATATTGAAATACCACAATCAACTCAACCTTCAAAATACCTGCATATTAAAAGCATATACTCACGTCTCAAGTCCAAGATTCCACAGACCACAAAGTAAGAACACTCTATATCCTGGTAGCGCAATTCACACACCTGCAATGCATTCTGGTGCACGAGGGCGTCTGTCTGCAGCTGAGCCACCAGCACCAGGAGCAAGGTCAGACACAGTATAAGGTAGCCATTACCGCACCTCCCCTTTCACACACACACACCTGCAGTGCATTCTGGTGCACGAGGGCGTCTGTCTGCAGCTGAGCCACCAGCACCAGGAGCAAGGTCAGACACAGTATAAGGTAGCCATTACCGCACCTCCCCTTTCACACACACACACCTGCAGTGCATTCTGGTGCACGAGGGCGTCTGTCTGCAGCTGAGCCACCAGCACCAGGAGCAAGGTCAGACACAGTATAAGGTAGCCATTACCGCACCTCCCCTTTCACACACACACACCTGCAGTGCATTCTGGTGCACGAGGGCGTCTGTCTGCAGCTGAGCCACCAGCACCAGGAGCAAGGTCAGACACAGTATAAGGTAGCCATTACCGCACCTCCCCTTTCACACACACACACCTGCAGTGCATTCTGGTGCACGAGGGCGTCTGTCTGCAGCTGAGCCACCAGCACCAGGAGCAAGGTCAGACACAGTATAAGGTAGCCATTACCGCACCTCCCCTTTCACACACACACACCTGCAGTGCATTCTGGTGCACGAGGGCGTCTGTCTGCAGCTGAGCCACCAGCACCAGGAGCAAGGTCAGACACAGTATAAGGTAGCCATTACCGCACCTCCCCTTTCACACACACACACCTGCAGTGCATTCTGGTGCACGAGGGCGTCTGTCTGCAGCTGAGCCACCAGCACCAGGAGCAAGGTCAGACACAGTATAAGGTAGCCATTACCGCACCTCCCCTTTCACACACACACACACCTGCAGTGCATTCTGGTGCACGAGGGCGTCTGTCTGCAGCCGAGCCACCAGCACCTGCAGGTTGTCGCCACTCAGCACCACGTGCTTGTTGGCCGCCTCCTGTGGCATCAGGGGCGGGAGAGGACAGGTTCAATATAAGGGAACGCGTTACCAGATGCTTCATCCAATGGTCATGGTCACCAGCAGCACCTGCAGGTTGTCACCACGCAGCGCCCAGCTTATTTATAAAGCAAGCACTCAACATGCCTGAACCGACCCATTTGAAGAACTCACCGCATGGGCAGGCCAGGCTTGCATGAGGAAGGAGGAGGTGGTGGAGGCTCTGGCAGCAGCAGGGGAGTCAGGAGCGGGTGAGTCAGCTGAGTAGTGCTTTATGGCTGCACGGATCGTGTTGGCTGCTGCAAACGCCACCACGGACGATGGGTGCTTGAGGGCCTGGATTGAGCAGGTGGGTAGGCACGGGAAAAGATGGGGAAGACAGAGGAAAGGTATGTGTGTTGTGACGCATCACAGGTAGATAGCTGCCCAGATGTCTTCCCGGTCATGGATCATGGGTCAAATGGCAAGGAGGGCGCACCTTGATGAGGATGCTGATGAAGACTGGGTTGGACTTGACCGACTGAAACATGCCCCGGGTGCCTTTCTAGTCTGCTTGAGAGACGATGCATGCGTAGAGGCAGAGGGCGCCTTTCTGGCCATGGGGCAAAGAGGGCGCACCTTGACAAGGATGCTGATGAAGTCTGGGTTGGCCTTGACTGACTCAAACACGCAGTGCTTGCCTTTCTGCTTGAACATTCCTAAGAGAAGATGCATAGCTGCAGGGAGTGTCGCCAGGAGTGCAAGGGCAACCGCAAGGGCACACAGCGCACCTTGATGAGGATGCTGATGAAGTCTGGGTTGGACTTGACCGACTCAAACACGCCCCGCGTGCCCAGCAACCGCTGCACCACTGAGCAGCACGTCACCGCGTACGATGCTCCCAGCCCTGGCTTCAAGTCTGCCGTGATGGTACGTGTGGATGCATCATGCATGCATACATACATGTCGACATGCACAGCACACATGTTGACATGCACACATGCATGGATGCCGATCATACACAAAATGCGCATGACCGTGCACACACACACACACACACACACACACACACACACACACACACACAGCCAAGGAGACAAAACAATGAGATGACGGGAGGGAACTTCGTATGTTACAACCATTGCGTAACACTCACTCCTCAGGAGTCACACATCCCAAAACCCAGAACTCACCCAGGCTGGCTCGGAGCACAAACACAGCCTCACTCACCCAGGCCCGTGACACCTCTGGCTAGAGAGCTCTGGGGAGCACCACACGCCACACGAACCGACTAACTCACTCACCCAGGCTGGCTCGGAGCATCTCGGCGACAGCAAGCATGGGGCGCGCGTCGATGCAGAGGGAGTCGCCGGGGTGCATGTTGCAGGCGTACTCCTTCACCATGGGCAGCCACTGCGCCACCACATCCGCCTGCGTCAGCTCCGAGAGGTTCTCCCGGTGCGCCAGGAACACCGTCATGAAGCGCGCTATCAGGTAGATCTCGTACTCGTTCTGCCAGGAGGGCGAGGGGAAGAGGGAATGAAAACACCGACCAAGGACATTGGGGAGAATTGAAGGGGAATGGAGTGAGCAGTGTGGTAAGCACATGAGGGGCGCTGGCTGGCTGCTGCAGGTGCGCCAGGAACACCGTCATGAAGCGCGTTATCAGGTAGATCTCGTACTCGTTCTGATGCGGTGGGGAGAAGTAGAGGGGAGGATGGAATGACTTGTGTTAAGTCATGAGGTTCACTGGCAGGCTTGATTTGCTGCTGTTAGTGCGCCAGGAACACCGTCATAAAGCGCGCTATCAGGAATATTTCAATGGAATGGAGTCGACGGCACCGTCAACCACCGTCGATCATTGACCTGCTGACCCCCCCGGGCAGAAAAAAAAACTAAAAACCCCTCGGATGGCATGCACCCGAGAGAGGCATCAACCCTAAACACCATGCGACAAGGTGTTTAGGGTTGATGACATCCTGACCGGATGCCCTTCCACAGGGGGAGGGGGGGGGGTGGTGGGGGGGTTTGCCCACGGGCAGCGAGCTCCGTTGGGCGGAGTCAATTGTCCGTTAAGGTATATCAAGAGGTAGATCTCGTACTCATTCTGCCGTGGTTGGGTGGGAGGAGAACAGGAGGGGGGGTGTTGGAAAGATGGAGCGAGCTGCAAAATTACTACTGAGCGAGACACTGGTTTTTTTTTCCCTCAAACAAAGGTTTCCATTTTCGTCTTACTCCAAACCCACGCACCTGATAGAGAGGCAAGGGTTTCTCTGGCAGAGTGTGCTGCGCGAAGGGCTCAAGGCGGACGGAGAAGTTGCGGGCCTTGGCGTGGCTGGCGACCTCCGCCAGGCTGCCCACGAGCGCCTCCCTGTCCGCCACACAGTACTGCGTCGCGCGCCACCCACTCAGCTCCACTATCACCTCGCTCTCGTTCTTGTCCGACACCACCAGTCCCAGGATGTCGCTCAGACTGGTGGGCGGGCACATGTGAGCATAGGCCAACGAGCAGCAAGAGGAGCGCATAAAAATGGGTTAGACGTGGGAACAGAGGGAGCCACCCACTCAGCTCCACTATCGCCTCGCTCTCGCTCTTGTCCGACACCACCTTGTCCGACACCACCAGCCCCAGGATGTCGCTCAGACTGCTTGGACAGAGGTGGGTACAAAACACACCACGGCAGCATGGGGCAAGGAGCAGCAAGAGAGGTGGATAGAGTTGGGTTAGACGTGGGAACAGAGGGAGCCACCCACTCAGCTCCACTATCGCCTCTCTCTCGCTCTTGTCCAACACCACCAGCCCTAAGATGCCGCTCAGACTGGTGGGTAGCGGGGCAATGAGCAGCAAGAGGGGTGCATAGCGTTGCGTTAAGCACACAGCAAGGGAGGCACTACCCACCCACCCACCCAATGTACCTTCACTCCTCTCCTTATGTTCATTTTTCGTCTCTCACCTTTGACAGCCAATTATCTCTGACATGAACTCCTTGGTCAGTTGCTGCCCACGTGCCCACCCATCCTTACAGTGCTCTCATCTCGTCTCTCACCTGTGTAGTGCAATCACGTGGCTGCCAGTCATCTCCGCCATGAACTCCTTGGTCAGTTCGCGCCCACATGCCCACCCACGGTACTCTACCTTCCCCCCCTTGTAATCACACCCCTTATGTTCTCTTTACATCTCTCACCTGTGCAGCGCAATGACGTGGCTGCCAGTCATCTCCGCCACAAACTCCTTGGTCAGTTCAGTTGCTGCCCACATGCTCACACTCGAGCACCAGATCATACTTCGTACTCCCACTCACCTGTGCAGCGCAATCACATGGCTGCCAGTCATCTCAGCCATGAACTCCTTGGTCAGAACGAGCGTCCTCACGCCCACCCACTGTGATCCTCTACTCCTCACGCCCACCCACTGTGATCCTCTACTTCTAGTCACATCCCAGCAGTGCTCTCACTCACCTGTGCAGCGCGATCACATGGCTGCCAGTCATCTCCGCCATAAACTCCTTGGTCAGCACGAGCGTCCTCTCCCTCTGCATGCCACTCGCAGGGTCGTTGTTCTTCACCACCGAGAACTCGTACAGCACAGGGGACGCGCGCTGGTGGGAAGGGGGGTTGAAGGAGAGAGGAGGGGAAACCATGGGAAGGAGAGGAGGCAAAAGAAGAATCTCATCAGGGTCCTCTCCTCTTCCTGCTGGCAGGGTCGTTGTTCTTCACCACCGAGAACTCGTACAGCACAGGAGACGCGCGCTGGTGGGGGGAGTGCGGGCAGAGGAGTGGATGATAGTCGCGCGCACTTGAGATGGGTGACTACAATGACACCGCAAGGGGTATCGGCTCCTCTCCCTCTGCATGCCACTGGCGGGGTCGTTGTTCTTCACCACTGAGAACTCGTACAGCACAGGGGACGCTCGCTGCAGAGGGGGGGGTTGAAGGGGTGCGGAGGGGGCGATGGTGAGGAAAGAGTGGCACTGCCTGACAGGACACCACAAGGGGCATCCCCTTCGTTGAGGTGTATTTTGAGGCGCCTCAAAATACACCGCAATGCTTAGGTGGCAATGGTGAGGAAAGAGTGGCACTGCCTGACAGGACACCACAAGGGACATCCCCTTCTCTCCCTCTGCATGCCACGGCAGGGTCGTTGTTCTTCACCACTGAGAACTCGTACAGCATAGACAGTACGAGAGAAGCAGGTAGCTCACCAGTGACTCAGCCCTTGCGTTGGTGACTATGAGGATCTCCTCCCCTGTGACTCGCTGCACCGGGATGTGCTTTTGCAGGTACATCTGCCACACCACACCACACCACACCACACACACCAAGATGGGACAGGACAGACCCAAGCGCCCACATGCACGAGTTAAACAGATCAGGAGAGTGGCTGTGCCTTATACTGTTTCAACAGACAGCACGAGTGCCTAACTTAAATGTGACAACAAAACCAGCAAGCAGATGAAACAACACATGAGGCTGCGATTGCATAGACCCACAGTACAGCCATGTGCAGTTGGGCATGCGTGCATGTGTGACTGCATGCAAGTGTGACGAATGGCTGATGTGACTTCAACCAAGCGTGCGTGCACCTCCCTACGCTAACAGCCTCGAGATCTCTTCAGGGTCAACCGTTGAAACCCACTTGTCGCCTATCCATCCATCTGCACCTGTCCTACTCGCGCCTCTGTATGCAGTTTGAACTGAAGCAATTATTGAGGCGCCTAAAAGTCGCGGCTCTGTCACCTGCTCCTCCTTTTCCCTTCTCCCGCCTCTCAACATCCCACCTCTCTCCATCTCACCTTGTTGCATTTCACCTCGTCTCGCCCTTCCTCCCACCTCGCCCTTCCTCCCACCTCGCCCTCCCCCTCTCTTCGCCCATCCGTCTCTCCATCTCGCCTTGGCGTTGCGCTGCACGGTGGACGCGAACTGGTCCGACTCACCTCCAACACCAACTACTTCACTCGCCATTCTGTAAACACCAGCACCTAATCCAGCTGCCCCTGTCAATGAATCTCACCCTCGCATTCCGCTGCACCTGTCCCTCCATCTCACCTTAGCATTGCGCTGCACGGTGGACGCGACCTGGTTTTCCCTCCTCCCCAAATTCCATCATGCCGCCTCCCTCCATCTCACCTTGGCGTTGCGCTGCACGGTGGATGCGAACTGATCCGACTCGCCGTCCACGAGCACCTGCCACTCGCGACTAGCCTCTTCTCCCTGGCCCTTTCCCTCCTCCCCAAATGCCATCATGCCATCAAGCCGCCTCCCTCCATCTCACCTTGGCATTCCTCTGCACGGTGGATGCGAACTGGTCCGACTCGCCGTCCACGAGCAGCTGCCACACGCGCGACTTGGTGTGCAGCAGCACCTGCTCGTCCCGCTCGCCCGCCGTCTCGATCTTCATCACGTCCACCAGGTTGATCTTCTTCATGCTGCTCGCCTGAGGAGGGGAAAAGACGGGCTCAGAATACGTATCTCATTAATTGGCTGGCAATGCAGCAGCACCTGCTCGTCCCGCTCCCCCGCCGTCTTAATCTTCATCACGTCCACCAGGTTGATCTTCTTCATGCTGCTCGTCTGGGGCGATGTTACAGTGTCACAGAGAGCGGTAAACAAAGGCTATCAATAGGTCCACTGTCAATCAACGGCACAACAGCCATTCGCTCGCCCGCCGTCTCGGTCTTCGTCGCGTCCACCAACTTTGATCTTCTTCACGCTGCTTGCCTGGGGTCATCGGCATCAGAGGGAGGGGTAAAAGCGCCTGGGGTCAGACAACAATTGCCTCAGAGGTGCCTCACAACCTTTTTGCTCGCCCGCCGTCTTGATCTTCATCACGTCTACCAGGTTGATCGTCTTCATGCTGCTCGCCTGACATTACCCAGCGGCGCAACATGGCGAGAACGGTGGGCCGGATGGGGAGGGGAAGGGGGGGGGAGGGGAGGGGGATGGGGAGGGAGAGGGGAGGGGGTTGGGGAGGGGGAAAAGGGGGGATGGGAGGGGGAAAAGGGGGAAGGAGGGGAAGTAAGAGGGGCAGTAAACAAGGGCTATTTCACCATCCTTCATTAGCAAGATTGACCCCAAGTTACATCCTGTCTACGGCAATAACTCAATCAGACGTCTTCGTGCATAAATGTTCGTTATAATGCCGGCTCAGATTCGACGAACGAAGCTCGAAGTGCTTGAGGGGCCTCGCACGCGCACGAAATATTCCTTGCACCGCCTCCGTGTACGTATGAATGCGAGACTTTCCAGTGGCGTTCAGCTCACGTCTGCTCCCTGATATATCATTTCTTGTTTTGTACCAGACTACCCGTCTATTGCAACTGATTCACCATCCGTCGCGCGCGGCTGGCTCACCGTTTGTCGTTCGTGGCGAACGCCAGCGGCGACCATCTTGAATTTTGAGTTGACTTACTTTTGAGTTGACTCAAAGTCAACTCGGCTTATTGACACTCACCGTCTGTCGCTCGTGGCGAACGCCAGCGGCGACCATCTTGACAAGCGACGCGCTCCTGACTCGCAGAACGACCTCGGTATACTCGCCGCGATGGTTGCTGGCCTTCCGCACGGGAAAGTCGGTTCCTGTGTTGAAATCGAATCGAATCGAATCAAATCGAATCGCATCAGATTTACGGCACGGACACACAAGCATCACAACGCAGTCTCAGAATGGCAAAACATCAGATGCAGTGACTCGAAATACAGGGGATAAATATAATAATGGTGAACACGGCAGGTATACGGGAATTTTCACTTTCCAGGATGTTAGATCAGCGGTTGTGTGACAATACAAGTATTGGCAAACACTCGTTGCCAGTAAGAAAGATCCCTCATTATGAAATGACTTACCAATGCCATTGACTTCGTCGAGTCTGTTGTATAGAGATGTGAGAAGGATCTCTCGAGTCGAACACGCATAAGTGTGCGAGATTCCAGCTACATCGAACGAGAATTCCTGACCGTCCGACTCCGAGCAACGGAGGTTCGCGATTTGCTCGAAGGTGAAGTCTAGAATCGTCGGATTCGCGGGAGTTAGGGTTGATATAGAAATTCCTTGCTCGGATACCCTAAGCAGCCTAGATATGTTACGAGTAGGCCGGGTATGACCAGGCAGTCTGACTAAAAACACCTGGTAATCCATTATTCCTTAGTTAACGATAGATCCCTTGTCTATGCTGGCAGGGTGTACTCGAGGTGAGTAGCCATGAAAGTCGTTAAGAACGCACTATACGTGCTATATATACGGCAGGGGATCGCATAAAAAGTGTCGAATGAACACGCGTCGGATGCGCCTGATTACCTCCGAGATTACGTGTAAGAAATGCTGTACTAGTACTCACCACGAGAAACTATTTCCGACTGACTTGTGTACGGTCTGCAAGCAAACTGAATCTATTCTTGACCTGAATCTCATAAGGAACTCTCCTTTGTCAGTTGATCATCCCGATCGTTTGCGAGTTCTGACAGCGAACTTCGAAGAGCATATCGTTGCACTGGTTACCACCGCCGCGGGAACGCGAATTTGAGTTCGCGCGCTTTTTCACTCGCTTCGGTGATTGCGGAATCACCCGCGATCAGGCGGCTCACCCGCGACGGCCAAGCCATAGGGAATGCGTCACGTGTGAGGTTGAGCAGAAGGTGTCAGTCCAAACTCAGTTTATAGTGAATGCTTCGATTGCATATCACATACCAAACTAGCTGAAATGCAGAAGGCCAAAGAAAGCATATTTTTACACTTGCCCGAGACTGGAAAACTGCTATGCATTGTGTTCAGGGTTTTGGGTGAACCGCATTCTCAGTACGCGTCGGTTTCTATAGGCGGACTGAGAATGCAATTTTGTTCCTACGACAAATGGAACAAACAAAAATCTAAGGACATAGCAACAAAAGGTTTTATCTGCTAAGAACCTCCCCAACTGTTCAGCATAATATAGCCCAGGGCCAGGCTGGCGGGCCCGCACGCGCGTCACTCGCCCGCCTCGTCAGACCCCTGTCCGTCGACCCCCCTCGTCGACCCTGGCAACTCGATTCCGTCGACCTCATTCCGCTGGGATCTTCAGCTTGGTCAAGAAGCTCACCACTAACTCCTAAGAGCATCGAACTCCTACACCGGTTTGGCGCTTCCGCGGCCATTACCCACCAGTGTCCTTATGACCGCTACTGCTGCAGCTTTTGATAACGATGTTAGCATAAACACTAGCCCGACAATTTGAGCCAACTGTTGACTTCCGTGAAAGAGTTGGCATCGTATCCACTGACGTCCGTGATAATCCCAGGCTTCGCCCAGTCCACCCGGGAAGACGCGGCGCCAGGCCCCTTACTTCCTGCCTCCGCAAGGAACATGCAGCTGCCCTCGTTCCACGACAGCCAGCCGTCCTTCTCGATCGCCTGAAAGGGAATGGGGGATGGGCGGATGGGGAGTGAAGGAGGTGGGGAAGGCGGGAATGAAAGTAAGCATGAATGCACTTCCCCTTGTTTCACAACAGCCAGCCATTTGAAGGGATTAAATGGAGATGGGGAGTGACGATGCGGAGTGGGGATAGGCGGGTGGGAAGGAGGGGGGATGGTGGGTGAGTAGGTGGAACTTGTGCAGGCAGATGAAACTGGAACAGGGGATGCTTACCGCGGGGAGATTGGCGTTGATGAACACCGTGAAGGCGCATTTCTTCCACGGACGGCCCAGATACACCCTGGTAGTACCGCTGTCCGCCGCAACATTCGCATCGCGAATCACAATCCCAGTTGGCGTATCCTTGCTGCGCCCCGACGCCGTAAGAGTTCCAAAAGAGGGGCTTGGGTGAAGCTGAATCTTCGGAGCATCGATGACCACAGCCGCGTCGCCGAAAATGAAGTCCTGCGTGCCGCCGATGTAGCAATTTTTGTAGTACTGCCGTCCCGCGTCCACATACAATGTATCTTGCGATCCCTCGAACGCGCAGTTGAAAAGAGCTGATTGGTCACCAGTGGCGCGAAACGCAACTGCTTGGTGATTCTCCGGGCCTGCCGTGTTGACGAATTTTATGCCGAAAGCCACGAACCTGTCGTGCGGTTACCAGATGGTGGGTACGTGATGCAAGGGTAGGAAGAGAAAAGCAGGAAGCCGTGAGTGGAACACGAGCAGAAAGGGGTGAGAGCGAGAAGGGCAGAAAGGCGTGAGAGAGGTAAGGGCAGACAGGGGTAGAGAGGGCAGAAAAGGGAAAAGGGCGGCATTACCTGTCGCTATCCACCCCAACTGTAGCCGACTCGTAGGTCCCGGACCCGCTGCCGTAACTCGCGTCGCCCGTAATAATCGTCTTATCCGCGCCTGCACCAATCAGAACGATATCAGTCGTATCAATCAACACCTGCTCCTTGTACGTTCCCGCGGGAATGTAGATCACGAATCGCGAACCGCCAGGAGCGGCATCAACGGCATCCTGGATAGACTTGTATCCCTTCCCGACGGTCGCGCTGGCCGCAAGGGACGGGCCGGCAACCATTGCGCCGGAGGACGGTGACGCCTTCTTGCTGCTGCTCTTGCTGCCGCTCTTCTTGCCGCTCTTCTTGCTGCCGCTCTTGCTGCTTTTGTTGCTGCTGCTCTTGCCGGTCTTCTTGCTACTCTTCTTGATGCCGCTGTTGCTGCCGCTCTTGCTACCGCTCTTCTTGCTGCCGCTCTTCTTGCCGCTCTTGCTGCCGCTCTTGCTGCCGCTCTTCTTGCCGCTCTTCTTGCCGCTCTTCTTGCCCTTCTTGCCGCTCTTCTTGCCGCTCTTCTTGCCCTTCTTGCCGCTCTTCTTGCCGCTCTTCTTGCTGCCCTTCTTGCTGCCGCTCTTCTTGCCGCCGCTCTTCTTGCTGCCGCTCTTCTTGCTGCTGCTGCTGCTCTTGCTTGGGGACTTGCTGCTGCTGCTCTTGCTGCTGCCGCTGCTCTTCTTATTCTTCTTCTTGTTATGGCGGTGGCGGAGCTGCCTCCTCAAGATAGAACCACCCTCCAAATCTCCTCCCTCCGCAACGGCAACTTCGGCATTCAGCCTCGTTTGAAGCTCCTGCAGTTGCTCGTACAAGCCCGGCTCAAGCCAATTCGGGCTGCTTGATTGAACGGCCATGCTGCGTCCACGCACAGCCACCTCATCGTCCCCGCTGGTAGCAACGGCTTTCGCGGCGGCGTTGGTGATTGAAACGAGAGCGCCAAGCGTGCTGCCCGCTTTCTTAGCAGTGTACTGCGGGAAGGAAGCGGGTTGCGGGGGAGAGGGGAGAAGGGAGAAAGAACGAATGAACCAGCGTTGCTGTTGCACCGAGCAAGATGACGTTTCCTTCGAAAAGATGCGAGAAAATGAGAGCTTCTGGAGCGCTCGAAACAGGAGTCTCTAGCGAATGGATCTGAATGCGGCCCTCTTAATTTTAATATCTGTGTTTAAGATTTTGAAATCAGGATTGTAACGAACCTCGAGATGCACGTAAGCGGGGAAGCCTTGCGCTGCGGGCGAGAAAGTCTGGAAACCGTCAACGCAGTTGTCGATCTGCGTATCGGCGGCTGCCAACCAGTACGGCACGTCGCGCAAGCGCAATGTTAGCCTGTCGCGCGCAGCTCCTCGCCATGGCGTTTATGAAATGATCGTTCCGCACGTTGCTTGACTTAATCTCGTCGGCCGCGTCGATTAGTGACGCGACTTGCGCTTGCACCGCGACAATCATGGCTGAGGTCACTTGCTCCGCCGTCTACGGCACAACGCCTAGGGATCGCCGCGCCACGCGGAACTCTGCCGCGCAGTGGGTTCCGTTGGACGACGCGATGCAGGCGTCAGGGTGGGAGAGGACGAGATAGTTGTCCGCCATCTCGCAGCAGGAGATTATCGCCAGCGCGATGCCAAGTCCAGCGAATGCCCATATTGCAGCCCGTTTAATCGAAGAGATTTCCATCTCTCCGAATAGAATGGGCTCCCCAAGAGTCTTCTAGACTACTCGCAGGATGGAAGGGAGAGGTAGGAAATGTTGTGTCTGAGTGATAGGCGCCGCAGCAATGCTTTAGAAAGACTGTTCGAATGATGGAGATGCGACGTAAGAACTGATCGCTGATGGTAATCAACTGATGACTCCAGATTGTCAGAAACGCATATTTATGTGAGTTTCCGTAAGGAACCGCGAGGTAGGGCGTTGCGCACAAGCGGCTTAGCTAGGGGTAACTCGTTGTCGCGTCGTCATATGGGGGGGCAGTCTAATCGCGGTTCAGTCTGGTGGCTGGAGACGTCGAAGCGCGATCATGACCTATCCAGGGTGTAAGGGCGAATCGAGTGAGCACCCACGAATTTTATTTTTACAGGTGGCATTCAGTACGGCACGACTCAATAAACGAAAAACTTACGAGTTATGGGGAGGTTGAGACACTTCAAGAGACCTTCAGAAAATGCGAGAGTTCGTGCTGCGGCGATACAGTATTATCAACTCGTTTTTCGGTAAACGTCTCGTCAACAGAATTTTTAAACGGCCCAGTCAATATGTTCACGCCGCCCGGTGTTTCGGACACCACATCCAGAATAGTAACACCCAGCAACGCCAGGCGACTCGTGACTTCAAACTAGTGCTTGTAACAACACATTATCGGAAAGCCTCGCCTCAGCGATTAGGGGGGACTCGTTTACTGGGCATCTTTCGCTAAGAAGCATGACCAACCCGCTAGCAGCTTGACTTTTCCAGCCATGGGCATTTGGCATACAGCACGCGAGAATTCGCGAAAGCCATTTCCCCATTTCGCACAGTGAAACAATCGAGGTGTAACTTCAAAACTGTACATAAATTTCTATTATAGTAGTGTAGTTGATGGCCCTTGCAATTTTGGGAAGACATAACTAAAAAATCTGTGTTCTTTCGACTTCAAGGTGTGCACTAAAATCTCCACATATTCCACAGATGTGGTGTTCCAGAAGCTTTCCCTAATCTTGGGGATTCGTCTAGGGTTCGTGGGGATCCGCCGTGCTGTTTGGCAACATAGCTCAAATAAGTAGGATCGCATCGCATTGCGATCAACATCCGTTCTCTGACAGTTCACAAATGTGACCGCACATTCAGGACCCGCCATGGCGTGTTTTGCAGCATCTGGTGGCTGTTTTCCACGGGGTCAGTGACAAATTGTGGTGGCTCTATTAGAATCGCGGCTGACGTGCGCCACGCATGCGCTCTTTACAAGAACATAATAACGGCTTGCTGCTTGTGGATATTTATGTACGTAGGCTCCTCACATTGATGCCTCATGCCTCTTGTACGCTCTCACCCACTAGTCTCATCACCATTCTACTTATCTTCCAAAAGCACTTAGTTTCTAAGATGGTATCAGCAGTAGGTTCGTTCCTAGCCTAAGAAAACGTGCCCCTCTTGCCCCTGTAACGTGCTTCACCCCTTTTGTAATGCGCCTTGTCCGCATTGCGCCTCGTAACGCCCCGCCGTGCCTGCAGCATGTGTGAATTCACGAAAGCCAATTCCCCATTTCGCACAGTGAAACAATCGAGGTGTAACTACTAAACTGTACTAGTAGTGGATGGCCCATGCAATATTGGGAAGACGTATCTGAAAACCTGCGTTCTTTCGACTTCAAGGTGTGCATCTCCACATATTCCACAAATGTGGTGTTCCTGAAGCTTTCCCTAATCTTGGGGATTCGTCTAGGGTTCGTGGGGATTCACCGTTCCGTTTAGCAGGATCGCATCGCATGGCTATCAACGTCCGTTCTATGACATTTCACAAATGTAACCGCACATTCAGGACCCCATATGGTGTGTTTTGCAGCATCTGGTGGCCGTTTTCCATGGGTGACAAATTGTGCTGGCTCTGTTAGAATTGCGGCTGACGTTCGCCACACATGCGCTCTTCACAAGAACATAATAACGACTTGCTGCTTGTGGATATTTATTTACGTAGGCTCCTCACGTTGATGCCTCATGCCTCTTGTACCCTCTGTCAGAATATTATAGCTTACTTATTTGTGTAGGCTACAGTGGGGTATCCCATAGGGGGTACAACCCAACTAGGGTTTCCTATTTGTACTCACTTCATTCATAGTTCATTCATTTCTCTCGTTCACTTCTTCTCATGGTATCGAGCAGGTTCCCTTGTGGGAACTTTGCTTAGGGCCCACCACTTCGAAAAATTTTTTTCCTGCCCTAGCGCCCTAGTACCCTAGCGCCCACCCTTGCGCCCGCCCTAGCGCCCTAGCGCCCGCCCTAGCGCCCGCCCTAGCGCCCGCCCTAGCGCCAGCCCTAGCGCCCGCCCTAGCGCCCGCCCTAGCGCCCTAGTGCCCGGCGCCTGCCCTAGTGCCCGTGAGCCGCCCGCGGCCTGCCCGTGAGCCGCCGCCCGCGGCCTGCCCTAGCGCCCGTGAGCCGCCCACGGCCTGCCCGTGAGCCGCCCGCGGCCTGCCCGTGAGCCGCCGCCCGTGAGCGCCGCCTGTTAGCCGCCGCCTGTGAGCGCCGCCCGTGCGCCGCCGCCCGTCAGCCGCAACCCGTGCGCCGCTCGTCAGCCGCAGCCCATGAGCGCCGCCCGTCAGCCGCAGCCCGTAAGCAGCCGCCCGTCAGACGCCGCCCGTGCGCCGCCGTCTGCGAAGCCGCCGCCCGTGAGCTGCCGCCCGTGAGCCGCCCACCCGCGCGCCGCCCGACTGTGAGCCGGCGCCGCCCGTGAGCCGCCCGCCCGTGCGCCACCAGCCCGCCCGTGAGCCGCTGGCGCCACCCGTGCGCCGCCCGTCCGCGAGCCACCCACCCGCCCGTGCGCCGCCCGCGCCGCCCGTGCACAGCCCGCGAGCCGCCCGCGAGCAGCCCGCGAGCCGCCCCAGCCGCCCGTGCAGCCGCCCGTGAGCCGCCCCAGCCGCCCGTGAGCCGCCCGCGCGCCGCCCGTGACCCGCCCCGGCCGCTCGTGCAGTCACCCGTGCGCCGCCCGCGAGACGCCTGCGCCGCCCGAGCCGCCCGAGCCGCCCGAGCCGCCCGAGCCGCCCGAGCCGCCCGAACCGCCCGAGCCGCCCGAGCCGCCCGAGCAACCTGAGGTGCCGAGCTCCTGCTCCTGTGGGGCTGCCGCTGCTCCTGGACCGGCGCAGCTGCTGTGCTGCCGTGTTGCAGTACTACTGAGCTACCCGACTCTTCCTGCTCGGTGAGACTGTCAGCTGCTATAATGGCCACCCCCAGTGTCCTGGCTTTTGATGCTGAGGGTCGCGCCATTGACTTTGCAGTCTGGGTCGAGGACCTGCAGCTGTACTTACTGTGCGATGCGATAGATGAGGTTTCTCTCTTTGACTTTGTCTCTGGCGCTGTCCCTGCCCCTCCTGCTGATGCTGACCCCACTGTTCGCTCCAAGTGGGCCACGCACGATGCTGCTGCACGTCTTGCTGTGCGTCGCCACCTCCCTTCCTCCGAGCGCGCGCACTTTAGTCAGTGCAAGACCGCTCAGGCCTTGTACGACGCTGTAGTTGCGCGCTACTCCTCCCCTTCCTCCGCTACGCTGAGCCGCCTCATGCTACCGTACCTCTTCCCTGACCTCGCTGCCTTTCCCACAGTCGCTGACCTCTTTACCCACCTCCGCGCTAGTGACACTCGCTACCGCGCTGCGCTTCCTGCTGAGTTCCGCGCCGCAAACCCTCCTCCCATGTACATCACTCTCTACTTTCTAGTCACCCGTCTCCCTGAGTCCCTTCGTGCCGTTAGGGACCAGTTTCTCTCTGTCTGTCCCACCACCCTCACTGTCGACCTCCTTGAGAAGTCCCTGCTAGCGGCTGAGAAGAGCATAGTCGCTGTAGGGGCCTCTCGTGGTGACCCCCGCACCCCCATCTTTGAGGGGTGTTCTCCTTCCCCCCTATTACCCTCTGTCGCCTCTGCTGCTGCGGCCGACCTCGTTGGTCTAGAGTCGGTCGGTGCGGCGTCTGCCCCCAGCGGTAGGCGCCGCTCTGGCAGGGGCAAGGGGGGCAAGGGAGCGGGTGGAGCTAGCGGGGGCGGTGGCGGAGGAGGTGGGAGCGGCGGGGGGAGTGGGGGTGGCGGTGGAGGTGGTGGTGGGAGTGGAGGTACTGGTGGCGGCAGTGGAGGCGGAGGCGGCGGCGGAGGTGGTGGCGGAGGTGGCGGTGGGAGCGGCGGGGGCGGCGGAGGCGGGGGTGGCGGTGGTGGAGGTGGTCGGAGTGGCTCGTCCCAGCGGAGCAGCACTGGGGGTGGTCAGCACCAGCAGCAGCAGCAGCAGCAGCAGCAGCGCTCTCGCGACGTCCCCACCCCTCAGCAGCTCCGTGAGTGGTACTCGCAGCGTCAGCGTGGTGGGGCGTTCGGTCCCTGCACCTACGTCCTTCGCACCGGCGACTGCGCGGGTGAGCAGTGTGGGGGCACCCACACCGCCCGCCGCTGCTTTGCCCGCTTGACCGACGCTTGGCGCCAGCAGTTTCCGGAGGCCGCTGAGATCCCCCGCTGGGGAGAGCTGTCTAGGGCTGGTGTAGCTATCTTTGATCTTGACTTTGATGCTATCCTTGCTGCCATGTATGCTGTGACTGTTAGTGATGAGGGTGACTGTTACCGGTGTTTCCCGCCCGACCCGGGCATTGGTACTGCTGCGTCAGGTGCCAGTGAGGCTGCTGCTCTAGGTGCCAGTGCGTCTGTGCTCTCAGGTGCTGGTGAGTCTGCCCTCTCAGGTACTGTGTCGGCTTCGGCCTCTCACACCTTCACCCTTGACTCTGGGGCGTCTCGCTCCTTCTTTCGGGACCGCACCACTCTCACACCGCTTAGTCGGCCGGTTGCGGTGTCCCTTGCTGACCCCTCTGGGGGTCCTGTCGTGTCTCGTTTCTCCACAGTCCTCCCGTGTCCGGCGGCTCCCTCTGGCACCCTGACTGGTCTCTACCTCCCCTCGTTCTCTACGAACCTGGTGAGTGGTGCTGACCTACAGGATGTGGGTGTCCACCAGTTCACTCCTGC